AAAAAAATACAGTTTTGGGAGATGGTGATAATAAGCAGAGGCTTCAGTCTTTGTTTTTGTTTTAGACCAAGTTTCCTTCTGTGTTCATCTGTAATTAGAGCTGATGTCATTAAGAAGTTGCTAATGCAGTGCATACCTCGATACATAGACCACGATGCAGTGCATACCTCGATACATAGACCACGATGCAGTGCATACCTCGATACATAGACCACGATGCAGTGCATACCTCGATACATAGACCACGATACATGCCTCGATACATACCTCGATACATAGACCACGATGCAGTGCATACCTCGATACATAGACCACGATACATACCTCGATACATAGACCACGATACATGTCTCGATACATAGACCACGATGCAGTGCATACCTCGATACATAGACCACGATGATACAGATACACTCGATACATAGACACGATGCTACATACCTCGATACGTAGACCACGATGCGGTACATGTCTCGATACGTAGACCACGATGCGGTACACGATACGACACATGCACGATACGTAGACCACGATGCATGTCTCGATACATAGACCACGATGCACGATACATACGATACATAGACCACGATACGATATAGACACGATACATAGACCACGATGCGGTACATGCCTCGATACATAGACCACGATGCGTACATGCGATACATGATACCTCGATACATAGACCACGATGCGGTACATAGACCACGATACGTATACCACGATACATACGATACATGCCTCGATACATAGACCACGATGCGGTACATCGATACGTAGACCACGATGCGGTACATGTCTCGATACGTAGACCACGATGCGGTACATGTCTCGATACGTAGACCACGATGCGGTACATAGGCCATGATGCGGTGCATACCTCATACATAGGCCATGATAATGTGCATACCTCGATACATAGGCCATGAAAATGTGCATACCTCGATACATAGATCACGATATATGAAACATCCCTTGATACATAGGCCATGATACGATACATACCGCAATACATAGGCCAGGTATGACGCATATCTCGATACATAGACCACGATGACGATGCATACCTCGATACATAGGACACGATGCCGTGCATACCTCGATACATAGGACAGGATGCAGTACATACCTCGATACATAGGACAGGATGCAGTACATACCTGGATACAGTGCACTTTTGATTGGATACGATATATTTCAAATCAGTTTGATACAGTTCAATAAAATAAAGGCTAAATCTCGTCCGTGACACTAAAAGTTTTTGTTAAATCACTTTTTGTGCAAAGTTCATATGAAACACAAACATTTTAATCGTCAAAACAGTGAAAATGTCAAATGTGTCGCATAAACGAGTTTCCTTCCTCTGAACAAAAACAAAACTGTGGCTCTGTAACAAAATAGTTTAGTAAAATAAACCAATAAATCCTCTTGGCGATATATCGATACAGCAGCCCACGATATCTATCACATTAAACAATACGATATATCGATATTACAATATATTTACACAGCCCTATCTGCAATGTGAAGTCCAAGTAAACTAAACTTAAAAAAATAAAAAAAACATTGGAAGAGAGTTAAAACGACCAAAATCTTGTAAAAAATCCAAAAAAATTGTAATTGTCCAGTGTGCAAAAACAATTCTATGTTTAATGTTTGTGGCCATGTCGCCCCATCGCATCATTTTTGGCACATTTTATCGTGAAATGCACCAAAATATGTCCAAAGCTCCAAACGCTCTGCTCCACCCTGTGATGTCATGCAGTGGTAGTTTTCAAGATCGGTGATTCAGAGACTGAAATGGAGCTGCTCAGACTGATCACTTGTGTCTGTGTTTGTTTTTCAGAACCCGGTGATCGCAGACGTGTACACGGAGCACGCTCACCCCGTCCACGTGGCCAAGTACGCGCCCAGCGGCTTCTACATCGCATCAGGAGGTAACCAAACTTTTACACCGACGTGTCCCACCGTCCCGTCTACAAAAGGTCAAGGTTTAGTCCCTGGTTTAGTCCCTGGTTTAGTCCCTGGTTTAGTCCCTGGTTTGGTCCTCGGTTTGGTCCTCGTTTCTGGTTTGGCCCTGGTTCCGTTTTTTTGGTTTTAGTCCTGGTTCCCTTTTTGGTTTATTCCCGTTCTGTTTTCTGGTTTAGCCCTGGTCTTGTTCTTGTTAGTATCTGGTTTAGACCTGGTTTAGACCTGGTTTAGTCCTGGTTTAGACCTGGTTTAGACCTGGTTTAGTCCTGGTTTAGTCCGGGTTTAGTCCGGGTTTAGTCCGGGTTTTAGACCTGATTCTGTCCTGGTTTAGACCTGGTTTAAACTTGGTTTAGTCCTGGTTTAGACCTGGTTTAGACCTGGTTTAGACCTGGTTTAGTCCTGGTTTAGTCCTGGTTTAGACCTGGTTTAGACCTGGTTTAGTTTAGACCTGGTTTAGACCTGGTTTAGACCTGGTTTAGACCTGGTTTAGACCTGGTTTAGTCCTGGTTTAGACCTGGTTTAGACCTGGTTTAGACCTGGTTTAGTCCTGGTTTAGTCCTGGTTTAGTCCTGGTTTAGACCTGGTTTAGTCCTGGTTTAGTCCTGGTTTAGTTCCTGTTGAGGAGCTGTAATCATGATTCCATTGAATTTCTTTTAAGAAAATTAAACTCATGTTTGTGACAGTTTTGTGATCCTTTTTATTTTATTTTATTTATTTTTTTTTAGTTTTAATAAAAGTGTTTTTTCCCGTTTCAGACGCTTCAGGAAAAGTGAGGATCTGGGACACGACTCAGAAGGAACATCTGCTCAAGTACGAGTACCAGCCCATCTCCGGGAAAGTCCTGGACATCGCCTGGACCGAGGACAGTAAACGCATCGCCGTGGTGGGAGACGGGAGGGAGAAGTGAGTATGAACGAGAGGAGGAAGAGAGAAGAGAGTATGAACGAGAGGAGGAAGAGAGAAGAGAGTATGAACGAGAGGAGGAAGAGAGAAGAGAGTATGAACGAGAGGAGGAAGAGAGAAGAGAGTATGAACGAGAGGAGGAAGAGAGAAGAGAGTATGAACGAGAGGAGGAAGAGAGAAGAGAGTATGAACGAGAGGAGGAAGAGAGAAGAGAGTATGAACGAGAGGAGGAAGAGAGAAGAGAGTATGAACGAGAGGAGGAAGAGAGAAGAGAGTATGAACGAGAGGAGGAAAGAGAGAAGAGAGTATGAACGAGAGGAGGAAGAGAGAAGAGAGTATGAACGAGAGGAGGAAAGAGAGAAGAGAGTATGAACGAGAGGAGGAAGAGAGAAGAGAGTATGAACGAGAGGAGGAAGAGAGAAGAGAGTATGAACGAGAGGAGGAAGAGAGAAGAGAGTATGAACGAGAGAGAGGAACGAGAGAGAAAGAGAAGAGAGTATGAACGAGAGGAGGAAAGAGAGAAGAGAGTATGAACGAGAGGAGGAGAGAGAGAAGAGAGTATGAACGAGAGGAGGAAGAGAGAAGAGAGTATGAACGAGAGGAGGAAGAGAGAGAGAGAGAGTATGAACGAGAGGAGGAAAGAGAGAAGAGAGTATGAACGAGAGGAGGAAAGAGAAGAGAGTATGAACGAGAGGAGGAAGAGAGAAGAGAGTATGAACGAGAGGAGGAGAGAGAGAGTATGAACGAGAGGAGAAGAGAGAAGAGAGTATGAACGAGAGGAGGAGAGAGAGAGAGAAGAGAGTATGAACGAGAGGAGGAAAGAGAGAAGAGAGTATGAACGAGAGGAGGAAGAGAGAAGAGAGTATGAACGAGAGGAGGAAGAGAGAAGAGAGTATGAACGAGAGGAGGAAAGAGAGAAGAGAGTATGAACGAGAGGAGGAAGAGAGAGAGATTGAACGAGAGGAGGAAAGAGAAAGAGAGTATGAACGAGAGAAGAGGAAGAGAGAAGAGAGAGAACGAGAGGAGGAAGAGAGAAGAGAGTATGAACGAGGAGGAAAAGAGAGAGAGAAGAGAGAAAGAGAGAGAAGAGAGTATGACGAGAGGAGGAAAGAGAGAGAGTATGAACGAGAGAGGAAAGAGAGAAGAGAGTATGAACGAGAGAGAAAGAGAGAAAGAGAGTATGAACGAGAGGAGGAAGAGAGAAGAGAGTATGAACGAGAGGAGGAGGAAGAGAGAAAGAGTATGAACGAGAGGAGGAAAGAGAAGAGAGTATGAACGAGAGGAGGAAAGAGAAGAGAGTATGAACGAGAGGAGGAAGAGAGAGAGAGAACGAGAGAGGAGAAGAAGAGAGTATGAACGAGAAGGAGGAAAGAGAGAAGAGAGTATGAACGAGAGGAGGAAAGAGAGAAGAGAGTATGAACGAGAAGAGAGAAAGAGAGAGAGAGAGTAGAACGAGAGGAGGAGAGAGAAGAGAGTATGAACGAGAGAAGAGAGTATAGAGAGAAGAGAGAAGAGAGTATGAACAGAGAGAGAGAGAAGAGAGAAGAGAGTATGAACGAGAGGAGGAGAAGAGAAGAGAGTATGAACGAGAGGAGGAAGAGAGAGAGAGAGTATGAACGAGAGAGAGAAGGAGAGAAGAGGGAAGAGAGGAGGAGAGAGAGAGAAGAGAAGGAGGGAGAGGGGAGGAGGAGAAGAAGATGGGAGGAGGAGGAGAAGAGGAAGAAGAGGAAGAAGAGGAGGAGGAATAAAAGAGAGGGACAGCTCCTAAACAGTGTCCTAGTTCAGAGCCTGGTCCAGACCTCGGTTCTTGTGGTCCAGACCCGTTCTTGTGGTCGGTTCTTGTGGTCCAGACCCCGGTTCGTTGTGGTCCAGACCCCGGTTCTTGTGGTCCAGACCCCGGTTGTGGTCCAGACCCCGGTTCTTGTGGTCCAGACCCCGGTTGTTGTGGTCCAGACCCCGGTTGTTGTGGTCCAGACCCCGGTCGTTGTGGTTCTGACCCCGGTCGTTGTGGTTGTGGTCAGGTTCGCCTCGGTTTTCCTGTGGGACTCGGGTTCGTCTGTGGGGGAACTCACGGGTCACTCGAAGCTCATCAACAGCGTCGACATCAGACAGAAGCGTCCGTACAGAATCGCCACAGGAAGTGACGACACCACCGCCGAGTTCTTCGAGGGACCACCCTTCAAGTTCAAGTTCACGCTCAAGGTAACGCACTAATACTACTAATACTACTACTAATACTACTACTACTAACTACTACTACTACTAGTACTACTACTACTACTAATACTACTACTACTAGGCAAGGCAAAGCAAGGCAAGTTTATTTGTATAGCACAATTCATACACAAAGTAATTCAAAGTGCTTTACAGAATAAGAAATACATTAAAATCATAATAAAAACAAATCAAAACATAAATAATCGTGAAGATTAAAATTAAAAAGAGAGACATAAATTGGAGAGAAGAGTGCGGAATGAAAACCTTTCAGTTATTTGCACAGTTAAACAGAAATGTTTTGAGTCTGGATTTAAACAGCGTCACAGAAGAGTCTGTCTCACATGTTCAGACTGTTCCAGGTTTTAGCTGCATGAACCTGAAACTCTGACTCCCCTTGTTTAGTCGTGACTCTGGGCACCAGCAGGAGTTGGTCCCTGAGCTCCTCAGAGTGTGAGATGTTCATATGACACTAACATGTCACAGATGGACTTTGGTGCTCGGCCATGGAGACACTTGTACAAACAGAGCTGCTTTAAAGTCTCTGAGCCACAGGAGCCAGAGCAGAGACCTGAGACCAGGACTTATGTGCTCGTACTTCCTAGTTCGAGTCAGGACCCGAGCTGCGATGTTGTGGATGTTGTGGATGTTGTGGATGTTGTGGATGTTGTGGATGTTGTGGATGTGGATGTGGATGTTGTGGATGTTGTGGATGTTGTGGATGTTGTGGATGTTGTGGATGTTGTGGATGTTCTGGATGTTGTGGATGTTCTGGATGTTCTGGATGTTCTGGATGTTCTGCAGCGTCTCACAGCTCGTTTGGAGAGACCAGTGAGCAGAACATTACAGTGTCTAACCTACTGGAGACAAACGCATGGATAAGTTTCTCCAAGTCTGATTTAGACAGTAAACCTTTGATTTTTGCTATGTTTTTTAGATGGTAAAAGGCTGCAGATGTTATTGACTTGATGTGGCTGTTAAAGTTCAAGTCTGAGTCCATTATTACCCCTAGATTTCTTGCCTGATTTGAAGGTTTTAGAGCGAGAGACTGGAGGTGACTGCTGACACTGTCCCTTTGTTTCTGTGGACCAAACACTATGACTTCAGTCTTGTCAGAGTTTAGCTGGAGAAAGTTGTTTTGCATCCACAAAACTATGTACTACTACTACTAATAATAATACTTTTTACTACTACTAATACTACTACTGCTGCTACTACTACTACTACTAGTACTAGTACTACTACAGCTGCTACTACTGCTACTACTACTACTACTACTACTGTTACTGCTGTTACAATTTTTACTACTACTGCTGATATTACTGCTACTATTACTTGACTCTGGACTTGACTCTGGACTTGACTGACTGGACTTGACTCGGGACTTGACTCGGGACTTGACTCGGACTTGACTCGGGACTTGACTCGGGACTTGACTGTATTTGACTCGGGACTTGACTCGGGACTTGACTGTATTTGACTCGGGACTTGACTGTATTTTGACTCTGATTTGACTCGGGACTTGACTTTGACTCGGGACTTGACTGTATTTGACTGACTTGACTCGGGACTTTGACTGTACTTTGACTCGGACTTGACTTGACTCGGGACTTGACTGTATTTGACTCGGGACTTGACTTTGACTCGGGATTTGACTTGACTGTATTTGACTTTGACTCGGGGACTTGACTGTACTGTTTTGACTCGGGACTCGGGACTTGACTGTATTTGACTCGGGACTCGGGACTTGACCTCGGGACCTGAGGTGAGAGACTTGAGACGTTCAGAGCAGTGACTCGCTCCCACCTCTGTAATATTTCCTTCAGTAATAATCAAACTTCACTCGGACGGTTTTTAACAGATATTTTCCTGTTTCTTTTCGTTTTGTTTTTTGTTTTTTTTCAGGAACACTCTCAGTTTGTGAACTGTGTGCGTTTCTCTCCTGATGGTTCCCACTTCGCCACGGCTGGAGCTGACGGACAGGTCGGTGCACTTTTATAATTCAATGCAACTCTGTCGTATAATTATATAATATTAAAAATCTGTCACACTTTTCCTGTGGTGGTGTTCTGTTTGTTCTTGTTCTTCCTGTTGTTCTCCTTCTTCCTCTTATTATGTTGCCCAAGCCTTATTTTTTTTTCAAAATCTGGCTGCAGCATGACATTAAATGGAGGGAGAAAAGAAAAAAAACAACAACAGCGTAGCGTGAATGAACGTCTAATTTGGAGCAATCAGTAGAGTGGAGGAAGTCTTTGGATGGATCGTGGAGAAGTGTCGGTTTAATCCACAGTGACTCTTAGATTCTAGACATAATACCGAGAGTTGGTTGGTCATTGTTATTAGAATTAGATCTGGTGTTTTTCGCCACATAATGGGTGTGATGTTGGTCTTAATTTTCATTGAAGTGGTCTTAAAAAAGGTCTTAAAGTCTTAAATTTGGGGTAATCAAACCCCCTGATACCCTGTTCTTTGTCTTCCTCTTGTTGTTCTTCCTCTTGTTCTTTGTTCTTCTTCTTCTTTCTTCTCCTTTTGTTGTCTTCTTCCTCTTGTTTGTCTTTTCTTGTGGTTGTTCTTCTTCTTGTCCTTCTTTGTCTTCCTCTTGTTTCTTGTTCTTCCTCTTGTTGTTGTTGTTCTTTCTCTTCTTGTCCTTCCTATTGTTGTTCTTCCTCTTGTTCTTGTGGTTCTTCTCTCTTCTTGTTCTTCTTTGACTTCCTCTTGTTGTCGTTCAGTGTCATTCTCTTGTATTCCTCTTGTTTCTTGTTGTTCTACTTCCTCTTGTTGTTGTTCTTTCTCTTGTTCGTGTGGTTGTTCTTTCTCCTTGTTCTTCTTCTTTGTCTTCCTCTTGTTGTTCTTTTTTTCTTGTTGTTCTTCCTCTTGTTGTTGTTGTTCTTCTTCTTCTCTCTTCTTGTTGTTCTTCTTTGTCTTCCTCTTGTTTCATGTTCTTCCTCTTGTTGTTGTTGTTGTTCTTCTTCTTCTTCTTCCTCTTGTTCTTGTGGTTCTTCTCATTGTCATTCTTGTTCTTGGTCTTCCTCTTGTTGTTCTTTCTCTTCTTGTTGTTCTTCTTTTGACTTCTTGTTGTCGTTCTTTGTCTTTCTCTTGTTCTTTCTCTTCTTGTTGTTCTTCTTCTTCTTTGTCTTCTTGTTTCTTCTTCCTCTTGTTCTTCTTTCTCCTTGTTCTTCTTCTTTGACTTCCTCTTGTTGTCGTTCTTTGTCTTCCTCTTGTTGTTGTTCTTTCTCTTCTCGTTGTTGTTGTTCTTCTTTGTCTTCCTCTTGTTGTCGTTCTTTGTCTTCTTGTTCTTCTTCTTTGTCTTGTTTCTTGTTCTTCCTCTTGTTCTTCTTTCTCCTTGTTCTTCTTCTTCTTTCACTTCTTCTTGTTCTAAAGTGCGGCTGTCGTGTCTGAATGGGACGTACTGCTCGTTGTGTTTTGATGTTTTGCAGCTGTTGTCGTCTGCGTCCTCATGGGCGTGTGACGTTAACCGGAGGCACTGTTCCGTCTGAGGCTCTGACCCGACCGTTCTTGTGTTTCAGATCTTCCTGTACGACGGTCAGAAGGGGGAGCTGGTTCGCTCTCTGGGGGGAGACAAGGCGCACAACGGTGGAATCTACGCGGTAAAGACAAACGGGAGATTAAAATGTCTGATGTTGATCGCTTCAGATGTTCGCTTTTACACCATCCTCCGGGGTTTTTATTTCACTGTTTTGTCCGTAAATCCATTTGATCAGTGAACTGCAGATAAAATACTCACTTTTAACCCAGCCGGAGTTGGTTAAAGCCTTTTTAAGAGCCGTGTCCACTTCTTTACACAGTTGACAGGGAGAACATGCAAACTCCACACACAGATAGAACCCGCACTGCCGGGAGTCGAACCAGGGACGTTTTGGCCGTGATGCGTGAGACCTGGCTATTTTTATCAACCTAAAGCTGCACTATGTAACTTTTCTGGTTGGGGTCTAGGCCTGTAACCATAACAGATTTTACTGGACGATTAATTGACCAAGAATTTATTGCGATAAACGATAATATTGACATTTTTGAGACCATTTTGAGAATAAAAATGCAAACAGACCCTCTCAAAGATCAATAAACTTTACTTTCTGAAGAACATTTAACACAGGAACTGTTAAGGGTCGTTCACACCAAAGCGTCAAAAAATGCCTCATCGTCTTTATTTGGAGCCTTTGCATTTGAGTTCAGTCGCCCCAGACGCTCTTGTCTTTGACGCCGTGGACGAACGGGACAAAAATACTTGACAAGCGTCCGTTGCCCTGGAAACAAGAGCCCGGTCCTGGACTTTTGCCGAAACAATGTCAGACCAGACTGAGACTTTAGTGTTTTTATCACATAAAACATCAGCGGAGGAGATCGGGTCGAGGACTGGAGCGGATATATATGTATACTTCACTAATGACACTGGATCAGTCCCGGTCTAGTCCCGGTCTAGTCCCGGTCTAGTCCCGGTCTAGTCCCGGTCTAGTCCCGGTCTAGTCCCGGTCTAATCACTGTTTAGTCTCAGTCTATTCAAGGTCTAGTCCTGGTTTAGTCCTGGTTTAGTCCTGGTTTAGTCCCGGTTTAGTCCCGGTCTAGTCCTGGTTTAGTCCCGGTCTAGTCCTGGTTTAGTCCCGGTCTGGTCCTGGTTTAGTCCCGGTCTGGTCCTGGTTTAGTCCTGGTCCAGTCCTGGTTTAGTCCTGGTTTAGTCCGGTCTGGTCCTGGTTTAGTCCCGGTCTGGTCCTGGTTTAGTCCCGGTCCGGTCCTGGTTTAGTCCTGGTTTAGTCCTGGAGTCCTAGTCCTGGTTTTAGTCCTGGTCCGGTCCTGGTTTAGTCCTGGTTTAGTCCCGGTCTAGTCCCGGTCCGGTCCCGGTCCGGTCCTGGTCCGGTCCTGGTCCGGTCCTGGTCCGGTCCTGGTCCGGTCCTGGTCCGGTCCTGGTCCGGTCCTCTGTTATTGTGGTGTATATATTTATGCTCCGTTCATGTTTGTGGTTCTCGCTCTGGTTCTCGGGTTTTTCTTCCTGATAATAACGTCGCTGCGTCATTAGAAAGTTCAGCATTTTCAACTTCTAACGCCTTGGACCCGCGTCTAGAGCGTCGACGCCAAAATGCTCAAGACGCACCTCGTTGACGCCAGATTCGTGCCGCGCTGATGCCGAAGACGCGCCGCAAAAACGCAGGACGCTCTAGTCGCGCGTCCACAGACTTTACATAGAAACTGGACACTTTGACGCTTTGGTGTGAACGAACCTTAAGACAAACAAAAACAACAGGCCTAAATAAAATAGACTTGTTCACATAGGAACAGCCTCATGTGTCTCACAGCGAGGACTTGTTCACAAAAATGCACTTGAATAAACCATTATTGAACCAAAAACAAATAAAAGGATAAATAAAGTAGATTATTAAATCTCTGTTACTGTAAATCTCTTAAAAGTGGTTTTAGTCAGTGACTCACATTGGAGTTTTGTGGCTCTTCTCTCTGCACCTGCTGCTGTGGCCTCGACATTTTGGTCTTGACATATTATTCATATTATTCCGCGACACAGGATCCAATTTCTCTGTTTTGTCCGTCAAACAAATCCTGTTTATAATACAGAGCCTGGCTCCAAATTCACCCCAGATTTGCCCCGTAACATTTAGCATCACAAGCTTCATTTACCGTATTTTCCGGGCTATAGGTCTCGCTCTTGAGCCTCCAACCTCATCAAAAAACAACTGTGCGCCACAATCCAGAGCGCCCCATACACGAATCCACTCAGGTGTCCCAGCACGACTTCAGTAAACTACAAACACACAAACACACACAGGACACACACGGAGCAGACAGCGACCGCACAGCGAAACACACCCACAGACACACTCATCGCTCCACGCCGACGAGGAACGGAACGGAGGAACGAACCGAAAAAGCGACGAGTCCAACGTGCCACTTCTAGACACGACTGAACAACTGAGTCACTGCGAACACGCCGACAATCCAGCGACAGACACACCCTCCCTACACGCCACAACTGAACAAAGCCCAGAGTCACAGTGAACGAACAAACTAACAAAACCACTCACCCATCACACTGTTGGGTTTCATTTAAAGTCCCACACGGTTTATTTGTGAAAAAAGTTCGAGAATAGATCATTTAATGACAGAGCGCCGCATAATCCAGTGCGACTATAGTGCGGAGAATACGGTATGTACAGTTCAGGAGTTACACCAAAACATTTGTTGGTTTCCTCAAAGAGTTGAGATAATTTACAATAGTTGAGACATCAAATCAAGCATTTTGTTGAGTTTAAACTGTGTCAAATATTAAGTGTTTTCTGATTCATTCATTTTGTAAAAATAAGTCAGAACAGCATCACAAATGTTGGATCTGTTAAAAACATGTCTAGTCTTTCTAAAACTGTCCATTTTCTGTTGGTGGTGCTTCATTTTTAACATGGTGAAAATGCACCAAATGTATTTTGTTCCATTTTGAACACTTCACATCTTGTTGATCGTTCATCACAGAGGCTCAGGTTTAAAATACGAAGTCCACAGTGTCGAGTGTGGGAAGGTTTATTTTCAATATCAAACCTCTGTCTGTGAAACTGCACTTTCCACACTTCTTCAGACGCCCTCACATTTGAAGAGGATTTTTTGAACAAATTCAAGTACATGTACAATGTACATTTGCCAAATTTTAACCCTTGAACATTTGAAGGACCTTAAATAGTTTTTTAGACACAGAAATCTGAAAGTGGCTCCTTGAACAACTCTGCCCAAAACAGCTCAGGGCAGAGTTGATAAAATATTTTAATGACAAAACTATAAGGAGTTGGGAGATCAAATCTGGGACGTTTCTGCTTGGAAAGTGTGTGAGAATTTTTTCCGAGAATTTTTCCAGTCAAATCTGAGATGGTTGGGCGAGGGCATTTGGAGATTTGGCGTGGAATGACCCCAAACCCCAATCACGCACGAGGTCGAGCGCCGTGTCGGCTCACAGGAAATAACAGAGACAGCGCGTTAAATCGTTCCAGTGTGCGATGGTCTTAATCTCTCTGTCCCTCCCTCTCTCCCTCTCAAACATTCTCTTTCTCTCTTCTAACCTCTCGTCCTCTTCCAGATAAGTTGGAGCCCTGACAGTTCCCAGCTCATCTCTGCTTCTGGAGATCGTACGGTGAAACTGTGGGACGTGGAGAGCGGCGCCGCGGCGACCACCTTTTCCGTGGGGTCCGAGGTTGGAGATCAGCAGCTCGGGTGTCTGTGGCAGAAGAACCACCTCCTCTCTGTGTCTCTGAGCGGAAACATCAACTACCTGGACAAGAACAACCCCACCCGGCCAATCAGAGTCCTCAAGGTGAGACACTGCCACCTCGTGATGTCACCAAGTGGTAGTTTTCAAGTGAACGGCTCCTTTTCCCTTTAGTTCAGTCGAGATTTTCAATTCCAGGACTGAAAAAATGATCCAGATGATTCTAGTGAAGGTGTGTGGAGTTTAAAAACACAGTGGAGCACTTCCTCTATTGCCACACGATGACATCACGAGGTGGGACGGAGCGTTTGGAGCGTTTGGAGATGCAGACAGACTGATATTGGACTGGTCGTGTTGGTGCGCTCCCTCTGCTGTCCTGTGGTGGCGCACTTTTCACAAACCTTAAATAGGAGGGTTTCAGTCACGTGATCACGATGACGCGCGAACTTCAGGTGGAGGGCAGGAAGTGAAGACAAACACGACAAACACGACAAACACGACAAACACGACAAACAAACACGGCTCTGGAGAACACAGATATGGAGAAGAGTTCTTATTGTAAGGATTTAGAGCCAGTAACGAGGCAAAAGTACGAGAAGTTAGTCGACAAATATATTGGGCGTGACCCTGATCTTATTGAAAATGAGAGAATTTTCAACCGAAGTAAAAGATTTGCCGACAATCGAGGCAGAGGAGATCACGAACTATTGAGCTCTTCAGACGTCGTTCTACACCAGACAACAGATGAAGGCAAAGTACAAAAGTTTGGAGGCATAGAACTTTTTTTGTCAGTGGATGGGTCCTCAACCTCGGTGCAAAACGCCTAAATGATGATTATGGTTTGGTCTTGGCCGAGGTGAGTGTTTCTCTTATTTTGTGTATAGACGTTATGGAAAAACTGCAGTGTATCGGCAGTGACCTCGATCTGAACTATTTAATGTCAACAAACGTCGTTAGTCGTTAATGATTCGTTTATGTTTAGGTAAACCACAAAAAACAATTTATCTTCGTAACAAACCTTTGTCGAAGTGTTCACCACAGACACGAGCATTTGCGGATTCTGCTCCTCCCGACCACAAACGGGTTTGTAATCCACTTTTTACAGCGTTGTTCTGTCGGCTTTTCCCATTTCTGAACCTTTGTGGACGACTATATTCGGTTCTCTCGGTTAGAACGATTGGAACTACACAACACATCGGCATTTTCCTCCAGTCGGTTCACTTCCTGCCCTCCGTCTGATTTTGCGCTGACAAACGTCGCCCTGTGACGTCACGTGAAACCCAGATATTCTGTTTGAAAATGAAGTCATGTGATTCTCAGATGAGCCACCAGAGGGCGATGAAAGATCTGAATGTGTTGCTCATAATCTCTCTCTCTCTCTTTCTGTCTCTCCGTCCTCAGGGCCACTCGAAGTCGATCCAGTGTCTGACCGTTCACAAAGGCGACGGTCGCTCCTTCATCTACTCGGGGAGTCACGACGGACACATCAATATCCTTTAAATCAGCTTCAGTATGACGACAGGACGAGGCGACTGTGTGGAGTGTGTGTGTGTGTGTGTGTGTGTGTGTTAGGCCTGTAACGATAATCAATAAATCAATTAATCGTACGATAACTTATAACAAGCTCGATAACTTTTCCGGCCGCGATAAATTCTATTTGCATGTTTGTTTGTTTTCCTCGTCTCTCGCTTTCTACCAAAGAGACTGAATGTCAAATGTTTCTGTCGCTCTCTGACTCCAGTCGTTTAATTAGTGTAATGACGCTTAAATGAACGTGCCAGCGTAGACTAGACGGATTATTTGTTCATCAGCACAGTGGATGCGTACGGCCTGAGTGCAGAAAGCACCGCCGTCTGCGCACTGAACACGAAGCCGCGACACAAACGCCGCCGTCAGAACCAAAACGGTTCATCTCCGTGTGACAAAACACGTCACAGTCAACAGGAGTGAGCGGGACACGTGTCAAACGCAGCGAAACGCAAACAACAAGATGAAATGTCTCAAACCCCAACAGCCGATAAACCCAAACCCAACTGACGGAACTAGCCCCGCCCCCAGAAGACCCCAAAACCCACTGAAATCCCACAAGACACCGACAGGATGCCAGACAGGACAGAACAGGATCCTGTGTTCAAGACCAAAACGACGAGTCTCACAGCAGCAGCCACAGAGAGACAAGACACAATATTCCAATGAAGTCAGTGACTAAAATCACTTTTAAGGGCAATTTTGTTAGAGATTTTATTGTTTTGGTTGTGTTTGGTTCAACAACGGTTTATTCAAGTGACTTTTGTGAACAAGTCTTTGCTGTAAGACAAACGCATTAGGATATTAGGAAGAGTGTGTGTGTGTTTGTCGTTGTCGTGCGGCGAGGGTTTTGTGTGTTTGTCGTTGTCGTGCGGCGAGGGTTTTGTGTGTTGTTTGTGGTTGTCGTGCGGCGAGGGTTTTGTGTGTTTGTCGTTGTCGTGCGGCGAGGGTTTTGTGTGTTTGTGGTTGTCGTGCGGCGAGGGTTTTGTGTGTTTGTGGTTGTCGTGCGGCGAGGGTTTGTGTGTGGTTGTTGTGCGGCGTGGGTTTGTGTTGTTTGTGGTTGTCGTGCGGCGAGGGTTTTGTGTGTTTGTCGTTGTCGTGCGGCGAGGGTTTTGTGTGTTTGTCGTTGTCGTGCGGCGTGGGTCTGTGTGTTGTTTGTGGTTGTCGTGCGGCGAGGGTTTTGTGTGTTTTGTCGTTGTCGTGCGGCGAGGGTTTTGTGTGTTTGTCGTTGTCGTGCGGCGAGGGTTTTGTGTGTTTGTGGTTGTCGTCGCGGCGAGGGTTTTGTGTGTTTGTGGTTGTCGTGCGGCGAGGGTTTTGTGTGTTTGTGGTTGTCGTGCGGCGAGGGTTTTGTGTGTTTGTGTTTTCGTGCGGCGAGGGTTTTGTGTGTTTGGGTTGTCGTGCGGCGAGGGTTTTTGTGTGTTTGTGGTTGTCGTGCGGCGAGGGTTTGTGTGTTTGTGGTTTGTCGTGCGGCGAGGGTTTTGTGTGTTTGTCTTTGACGTGCGGCGAGGGTTTTGTGTGTTGTTTGTGGTTGTCGTGCGGCGAGGGTTTTGTGTGTTTGTGGTTGTCGTGCGGCGAGGGTTTTGTGTGTTTGTGGTTGTCGTGCGGCGAGGGTTTTGTGTGTTTGTGGTTGTCGTGCGGCGAGGGTTTTGTGTGTTTGTCGTTGTTGTGCGGCGAGGGTCTGTGTGTGTGGTTGTCGTGCGGCGAGGGTTTTGTGTGTTTGTCGTTGTCGTGCGGCGAGGGTTTTGTGTGTTTGTCGTTGTCGTGCGGCGAGGGTTTTTGTGTGTTTGTCGTTGTCGTGCGGCGAGGGTTTTGTGTGTTTTGTGGTTGTCGTGCGGCGAGGGTTGTGTGTGTGTTTGTCGTTGTCGTGCGGCGAGGGTTTTGTGTGTTTGTGGTTGTCGTGCGGCGAGGGTTTTTGTGTGTTTGTGGTTGTCGTGCGGCGAGGGTTTTGTGTGTTTTGTCTTTGACGTGCGGCGGGTTTTGTGTGTTTGTGGTTGTCGTGCGGCGAGGGTTTTGTGTGTTTTGTGGTTGTCGTGCGGCGAGGGTTTGTGTGTTTTGTTGTGTGTTGTCGTGCGGCGATTTGTGTGTTTTGTCTTTCGTGCGCGATTTTGTGTTTTTTGTTTGTGGTTGTCGTGCGGCGAGGGTTTTTTGTGTTTTTTGTGTGTTTGTGCGGCGAGTTTTGTGTGTTTGTGGTTGTCGTGCGGCGAGGGTTTTGTGTGTTTGTGTTGTGTGCGGCGAGGGTTTTGTGTGTTTGTGTGTTTGATTTGTGCGGCGAGGGTTTTGTGTGTTGTTTGTGGTTGTTTGCGGCGAGGGTTTTGTGTGTTTGTGGTTTCGTGCGGCGAGGGTTTTGTGTGTTTGTGGTTGTCGTGCGGCGAGGGTTTTGTGTGTTTGTCGTTGTTGTGCGGCGAGGGTCTGTGTGTTGTTTGTGGTTGTCGTGCGGCGAGGGTTTTGTGTGTTTTCGTTGTCGTGCGGCGAGGGTTTTGTGTGTTTGTCGTTGTCGTGCGGCGAGGGTTTTGTGTGTTTGTCGTTGTCGTGCGGCGAGGGTTTGTGTTTGTGGTTGTCGTGCGGCGAGGGTTTTGTGTGTTTGTGGTTGTCGTGCGGCGAGGGTTTTGTGTGTTTGTGGTTGTCGTGCGGCGAGGGTTTGTGTGTGTGGTTTGTGCGGCGAGGTTGTTCGTGCGGCGAGGGTTTTGTGTGTTTGTGGTTGTCGTGCGGCGAGGGTTTTGTGTGTTTGTGGTTGTCGTGCGGCGAGGGTTTGTGTGTTTGTGGTTGTCGTGCGGCGAGGGTTGTGTGTTTGTGGTTGTCGTGCGGCGAGGGTTTTGTGTGTTTGTGGTTGTCGTGCGGCGAGGGTTGTTGTGTGTTTGTGGTTGTCGTGCGGCGAGGGTTTGTGTGTTTGTGGTTGTCGTGCGGCGAGGGTTTTGTGTGTTTGTGGTTGTCGTGCGGCGAGGGTTTTGTGTGTTTGTGGTTGTCGTGCGGCGAGGGTTTTGTGTGTTTGTGGTTGTCGTGCGGCGAGGGTTTTGTGTGTTGTTTGTGGTTGTCGTGCGGCGAGGGTCTGTGTGTTGTTTGTCTTTGTCGTGCGGCGAGGGTTTGTGTGTTTGTGGTTGTCGTGCGGCGAGGGTTTTGTGTGTTGTGGTTGTCGTGCGGCGAGGGTCTGTGTGTTGTTTGTGGTTGTCGTGCGGCGAGGGTCTGTGTGTTGTTTCTTTGACGGCCGTGCACCGCGCTGGGACAGTGACAGTGGGGAGACGGAGTGTTTCAGTGGAAAAGGACACACAAACTCTGTGAGCCGCATCTGCGTCAACGAGAACCACGAACTGGTGTCGTGCAGCATGGACGATACCGTCAGGTTCACCTCCACCAGCGCCACCGAGTACAGGTACTACTACTACTACTACTACTACTATTACTGCTACTGCTACTACTACTACTATTACTGCTACTGCTACTATACTACTACTACTACTACTGCTGCTACTACTACTACTATTACTACTACTACTACTACTGCTACTGACTACTACTACTACTACTACTACTATTACTGCTACTGCTACTACTACTACTACTACTACTATTACTGCTACTGCTACTACTACTACTATTACTGCTACTATTACTGCTACTGCTACTACTACTACTACTACTATTACTGCTACTGCTACTACTACTACTACTACTACTATTACTGCTACTGCTACTACTACTACTATTACTGCTACTGCTACTACTACTACTACTACTACTATTACTGCTACTGCTACTACTGCTACTGCTACTACTACTACTACTACTACAGACACCAGCGCCACCGAGTACAGGTACTACTACTACTACTTACTACTACTATTACTGCTACTGCTACTACTACTACTACTACTACTATTACTGCTACTGCTACTACTACTACTACTACTATTACTGCTACTGCTACTGCTACTACTACTACTATTACTGCTTACTGCTACTGCTACTACTACTACTACTACTACTACTATTACTACTACTATTACTGCTACTGCTACTACTGCTACTGCTACTACTACTACTACTATTACTGCTACTGCTACTACTACTACTACTATTACTACTACTATTACTACTACTGCTACTGCTACTACTACTACTATACTACTACTACTATACTACTGCTACTGCTACTACTACTACTACTACTACTATTACTGCTACTGCTACTATTACTGCTACTGCTACTGCTACTACTACTATTACTGCTACTGCTACTACTACTATTACTACTACTATTACTGCTACTACTGCTACTGCTACTACTACTACTACTACTACTACTACTACTACTACTACTACTATTACTGCTACTATTACTGCTACTATTACTGCTACTATTACTACTACTACTACTACTATTACTGCTGCTACTGCTACTGCTACTGCTACTGCTACTATAGCCACCAGTGCCACAGAGTACAGGTACTATTGGAAAATACTACTGTTACTACGAGACAGAGGGAGGGAGATTATGTCTGGTCTGTGCGCTCTCGACAGATTTGTGGGTGCTCTGTCCCCACAGCACCCATGGGATCCTCAGGGAGCCTCTGTAGGTTTAGTAGTTGTACCTGTGGTACCTGTAGTACTTGTAGTAGTTTTAGTAGTTGTACCTGTGGTACCTATAGTACTTGTAGTAGTTTTAGTAGTTGTAACAGTTTGTGTGTCTTGTCCAGTGGAGATGTGGTGAAGATGGATTCTCAGCCCAAGAGTGTGAGTGTGTCTTCAGGAGGACTCGCTCTGGTCGTCTGCATCAAAGGGGTCAGTGTCTTTAAACCCTTCGTGTGTGTGATGGGAGGGCATCTGGTGCATCTGTGTGTCGTGTGTGATGGAGGCATCTGTGGTCTGTGTGTCTGTGTGTGTGTCGTGTGTGTCGTGTGTGTGAAGGCATCTGGTGCGTCTGTGTGTGTCGTGTGTGATGGGAGGGCATCTGGTGCATCTGTGTGTGTGTGTGTGTCGTGTGTGTCGTGTGTGTGATGGAGGGCATCTGGTGCATCTGTGTGTGTGTGTGTGTCGTGTGTGTCGTGTGTGTGATGGGAGGGCATCTGTGCGTCTGTGTGTCTGTGTGTGTCGTGTGTGTCGTGTGTGTGATGGGAGGGCATCTGGTGCGTCTGTGTGTGTCGTGTGTGATGGGAGGGCATCTGGTGCATCTGTGTGTGTGTGTGTGTCGTGTGTGTCGTGTGTGATGGGAGGGCATCTGGTGCATCTGTGTGTCTGTGTGTGTCGTGTGTGTCGTGTGTGTGATGGGAGGGCATCTGGTGCATCTGTGTGTCGTGTGTGTCATGTGTGTGATGGGAGGGCATCTGGTGCATCTGTGTGTCTGTGTTTGTGTTTGCAGATCGTTTTACTGAAGGACAAGAGGAAGGTTTTCACTCTGGACGATCTGGACTTTGAGCCTGAGGTGGGCGCTCTGCAGCCAGGGGGCGCCACTGCCGCTGTGGGAGACTCGGTGAGTGAGACTCTGAAGAACAACAGAGACGTGAGCTTTAAACCGACTCCTTGTGATGTCATGAAGTGGGAGTTTTTAAGTGAACAGCTCCTTTTAGCTCAGTAGAAACCTGCAGCTCCAGAAATGAATGAAAATGATCCAGATGATTCTAGTGAAGGTGTGTGGAGTTTAAAAACACAGTGGAGCACTTCCTGTATCACCACTTGATGACATCACCAGGTGGAGTGTTTTCAGTTTGAGGAGAAGATCTTTCAATAACACTGTTCCCAACTGTAAAAGTCAGTGGAATCTTCTTCAGACACAGACTGGTGTAAAACGTGACTCAATCCTGTTAAATACTTTATTCATAACAACATCAAAGAACTGGACTGGAAAATAATTCACAAAATTTACCAATTTACTTCTGTCCAAATTCACACATTGCATCTTTTGTGAAGTGAAGAAGAAACCTCCCCCATCTCTTTTGTTATTGTAAATTAGGGCTGTCAACATGATCACGTTAACACATGAGATTAATCACAAAAAATTATCTCACTAATATATTTTTAACGCAGATTAATCACACATTTTCTTTTGACCGGACATGTTCCTCTGTCGAAAGTCCGCGCAGGTTCAGGTCAGTGATCAGGTCTGTCCGTCCGCCGACGCAAAGACGACTCATGAGACTAGGACAGGTGTGTTCAGCCGCAAATTTCTCTTCAAAAAAACTCCCCGACGGGACTTTAGATAAAACTGAGGTCGTTTGCACGTACTGCGGCGATGAACTCTTTCCACTCAACAAGTTTGAAATACCATCTTAAAAAACCCGTGTTTGATTCAGCCGCGAGCAAAGACACGACTTGTGCACCGACGGCGAGCGGCGGTGGCGGAGCGCACCCGCGGTGATGTCGTCGACAAATGTACCACCGATGAGTTGACCGACGCCCTCGCCAAACGGATATCCACAGCACGCCGGCCAATGAGCAGAGAGAAAACCAACGGCTGCAGAATGTCACGAATCTGACCTTGAAGTTGGTCATGTTGTGGTGTAATTTATAAAACAACGTGACTAAATTCAAGGTGATTATTCTTACAAACCGTTGCCTAAATTGACATTATCTGAACATGACAAACTTAAAACCAGAACAACGGTTAAAATTAGGGATGGGCATGATTAGTCCATTAATTGATAATTGATCACTAAGAATTTCATCGATTACGTTCATTTTAATCGACAAACCGAATGCAGGTCGCTGTGTGTATCGCGTCTGTACATGTGTCTCTGCATCAGAAGGAGCGAGACACAAACAGTGGGTCAGTCTGGAACGAACCGAAGCACAAATGTGGATTTAACCAGGATTTGGACAAGAAATTCCACACTTTCCGTTGCGTTGGGACAATCTTCATGAGAAGTTTTGTCTGATAAAAGAAAATAAAAAGTCCAAACTTTACTGAACCAAATTAAAAATATTATTGATCGAAAACGAAGAAACACGTCCACACAGCAGATTTAGTCCTGTTAAATCCTGGTTTTAGACCAGGTTTTAGACCAGGTTTTAGACCAGGTTTTAGACCAGGTTTTAGACCAGGTTTTAGACCAGGTTTTAGACCAGGTTTTAGACAGGTTTTAGACCAGGTTTTAGACCAGGTTTTAGACCAGGTTTAGATCTGGTTTAGTGTCTTGCAGTCAGTGGCATTACTGAGAAAAAAAAAAGGAATTTAGCCCCAAATGTGAAAACAGTAAAATTCCTCTGTTTAATCCATTTATTTCAACAAAGTAACTATAATCCAATTACCACTCACTGAAACAGTAACTGTAACTGAATACAGTTACTCATCATTTGTACTCTGATTACTCTGGTACATGTAATCTGTTACTCCACAACACTGGTCATGGAGCTGGAGGCACCAGATCATTCAGACTCTGGAGCCGTTTTCCATCAGATTAATGTGAACGAACCACTCACATACACACTAGTGTGAACGAACCCTGTACACACAACACCACTCACATACACACTAGTGTGAACGAACCCTGTACACACAACACCACTCACATACACACTAGTGTGAACGAACCCTGTACACACAACACCACTCACATACACACTAGTGTGAACGAACCCTGTACACACAACACCACTCACATACACACTAGTGTGAACGAACCCTGTACACACACACCACTCACATACACACTAGTGTGAACAACACTGTACACACAACACCACTCACATACACACTAGTGTGAACGAACCCTGTACACACAACACCACTCACATACACACTAGTGTGAACGAACCCTGTACACACAACACCACTCACATACACACTAGTGTGAACGAACCCTGTACACACAACAACACCACTCACATACACACTAGTGTGAACAACACTGTACACACAACACCACTCACATACACACTAGTGTGAACCAACACTGTACACACAACACCACTCACATACACACTAGTGTGAACGAACCCTGTACACACACACCACTCACATACACACTAGTGTGAACAGACACTGTACACACACACACCACTCACATACACACTAGTGTGAACAGACACTGTACACACACCACTCACATACACACTAGTGTGAACAGACACTGTACACACACCACTCACATACACACTAGTGTGAACGGGGCCTGAGAATTATCCTCAAACTCTAAACAGTATTTGTATTGATAAATCTATCAAAACACAAAAACATTCAGAACAATTAAGTCGTGTGTTTTTAAATCCTCCTCTTTGTCGTTGTTGTTGTCGTTGTTGTTTCAGGAGGGTAAGATCCACCTGTTTTCTGTGAGTGGAGGGGCTCTCTCCTCCACAGATCCGATCCTCGAGGCCAAAGGGAAACTCACAGACCTCGGCTTCTCTCCCGACGGCGCCTTCCTCGCCGCTCTCGACGAGAACAAGGTCCTGACTGTGTTTAGTGTGGCCGACAACTACGCCGTGAGTATCCTCTGCATCATCTGTGTCCTCTGCATCATCTGTGTCCTCTGCATCATCTGTGTCCTCTGTGTCCTCTGCATCATCTGTGTCCTCTGCATCCTCTGTGTCCTCTGCATGTCCTCTGCATCTGTGTCCTCTGTGTCCTCTGCATCATCTGTGTCCTCTGCATCATCTGTGTCCTCTGCATCATCTGTGTCCTCTGCATCCTCTGTGTCCTCTGCATCATCCTCTGTGTCCTCTGTGTCCTCTGCATCCTCTGTGTCCTCTGCATCCTCTGTGTCCTCTGTGTCCTCTGCATCATCTGTGCATCCTCTGTGTCCTCTGCATCATCTGTGTCCTCTGTGTCCTCTGTGTCCTCTGTCCTCTGCATCATCTGCATCCTCTGCATCCTCTGCATCCTCTGCATCATCTGTGTCCTCTGTGTCCTCTGTGTCCTCTGTGTCCTCTGCATCCTCTGCATCATCTGCTGTCCTCTGTCCTCTGCGTCCTCTGTGTCCTCTGCATCCTCTGTGTCCTCTGTGTCCTCTGCATCATCTGTGTCCTCTGCATCATCTGTGTCCTCTGCATCATCTGTGTCCTCTGCATCCTCTGTGTCCTCTGCATCATCTGTGTCCTCTGCATCATCTCTGTGTCCTCTGCATCCTCTGTGTCCTCTGCATCATCTGTGTCCTCTGCATCCTCTGCATCCTCTGTGTCCTCTGCATCCTCTGCATCCTCTGCATCCTCTGTGTCCTCTGCATCCTCTGCATCATCTGTGTCCTCTGTGTCCTCTGTCCTCTGCATCATCTCTGTGTCCTCTGTGTCCTCTGTGTCCTCTGCATCCTCTGCATCATCTGCGTCCTCTGCATCCTCTGCATCCTCTGCATCATCTCTGTGTCCTCTGTGTCCTCTGTGTCCTCTGTGTCCTCTGCATCCTCTGCATCCTCTGCATCATCTGTGTCCTCTGTGTCCTCTGTGTCCTCTGCATCCTCTGTGTCCTCTGTGTCCTCTGCATCCTCTGCATCATCTGTGTCCTCTGCATCATCTGCATCCTCTGTGTCCTCTGTGTCCTCTGCATCCTCTGCATCATCTGTGTCCTCTGCATCATCTGTCCTCTGTGTCCTCTGCATCCTCTGTGTCCTCTGCATCATCTGTGTCCTCTGCATCATCTGTGTCCTCTGCATCATCTGTGTCCTCTGTGTCCTCTGTGTCCTCTGTGTCCTCTGTGTCCTCTGTGTCCTCTGTGTCCTCTGCATCATCTACGTCCTCTGCATCCTCTGCATCATCTACGTCCTCTGTGTCCTCTGCATCATCTGTGTCCTCTGTGTCCTCTGTGTCCTCTCTGTGTCCTCTGTGTCCTCTGTGTCCTCTGTGTCCTCTGCATCATCTACGTCCTCTGCATCCTCTGCATCATCTACGTCCTCTGTCATCTCTGTGTCCTCTGTGTCCTCTGCATCATCTGTGTCCTCTGCATCATCTGTGTCCTCTGCATCATCTGCATCCTCTGCATCATCTACGTCCTCTGCATCCTCTGCATCCTCTGCGTCCTCTGTGTCCTCTGTGTCCTCTGTGTCCTCTGTGTCCTCTGTGTCCTCTGTGTCCTCTGTGTCCTCTGTGTCCTCTGCATCATCTGTGTCCTCTGCATCCTCTGCATCATCTACGTCCTCTGTGTCCTCTGTGTCCTCTGCATCATCTGTGTCCTCTGCATCATCTGTGTCCTCTGCATCATCTGTGTCCTCTGCATCATCTACGTCCTCTGCTCTGTCCTCTGCATCATCCTCTGTGTCCTCTTCGTCTCCTCTCGTCCTCTTCCTCTCCTCTCGTCTCCTCTCGTCCTCTTCCTCTGTCGTCTCCTCTCGTCCTCCTCCTCTGCGTCTCCTCTCGTCCTCTTCCTCTTCGTCTCCTCTCGTCCTCCTCCTCTGCGTCTCCTCTCGTCCTCTTCCTCTTCGTCTCCTCTCGTCCTCCTCCTCTGCGTCGTCTCCTCTCGTCCTCCTCCTCTGACCCCCTCCTCGTTTCCTTCCAGGTCAAAGGTCACTTTTACGGACACCACGCGAAGCCGGTGACCCTGAGCTGGAATCCGGACTGTGAGCACCTCGCCACGGGGGGGATGGACATGAACGTCTACGTGTGGACCATCAACAACGAGGACAAGAGGATCAAGCTGCCGGGTGCGCCGCCCTCCCCCCGCTGCTCGTTTCCACGGAGACGTCGCTGCTCTGCCTGGAATGTCCCACAGTGTGACTTTAAACGGCTCCAAAATCAAAAATCCCTGGAAAAACAAACATTGCGAGTGCGAGCGGCGTCGCCTCTCCACAGATCTGACCTGGTCTCCATGAAGATAGAAAGGTTTAATGCCACACTGTGGAACATTCGAGTCAAAGCAACAACATCTCCATGAGGAAAAGCGTTTAGACGACGGAGCCTCCCCCAGAAAAGTTACACAATGCACCTCTAAAGTTCACAAGAGTCGGTTTGGTTCAGATTTTTGTGCGGTGGCCGGAAAGTGCAAAACACTTTAACATTTCACAGCACAAAACCAAATTACATTTAGAAAACACACATTTACATCTCGAAAAAACAAATTTACAAAACACGAAACTCGAGGCAAAAACACAAATACAAAACCCCCCGGGAAAAAAAAAGAACAACAGTTTTTGAGGGAAAGAGAATGTCCTGAAAAGCCGAAGTGACGAACGACGTGCGGCACAAGCAGGAAGTGAAAAGTGTTTCAGCGCATTTGTAGGAACCACGAGGAGCCGTGGATCTATTAAAACATCTGGACACAGTGTTGTTGCTTGTAGCTGCCTCCAGTTGACGTAGAGACTCACTGGTTCGACAGCGGAAAAATCCCATGGGCCGAGAGAAGATTTATCTTATAGAGACAATGTAAACACAACCTGCTCGTGTTCGTCTGACAGGGACCTACAGCTTTCAAAATGTGGGATTTTGTGGCGATTTTTACAAATTTTTAGATCATAAACTTTTTCTCAGCTCAAAATCCTTCAGTTGTCTTAAAAAACTCTTTATAATCGTTTGCTTCGGCTCCGCTCTGCTCTTCTCGCTCTGATTGGTCAAAGTGATCACGTGATACACGAGGCTGTGCTGCGTGCGTTGGCGTGTTGGCGTGGCGTGTGTGCGTTGCGTGTGCGTTGGCGTGTGCGTTGGCGTGTGCGTTGCGTGTGCGTTGCCGTGCGTTGCTTGCGTGTGTGTTGCCGTGCGTGCGTCGTTGTGCGTTGGCGCGTGTGGTTGTTGCGTGTGCGTTGGCGGTGCGTTGGCGCGTTGCGTTGTGCGTTGTGTTTGCGCGTGTGCGTTGGCGTGTGTGCGTTGGCGCGTGCGTGGTGGCGTGCGTTGCGCGTGTGCGTTTGGCGCTGCGTGTGCGCTTGGCGCGTGTTGCGTTGCGTTGCGCGTGTGCGTTGGCGCGTGTGCGTTGGCGTGTGCGTTGGCGCGTGCGTTGCGTTGCGCGCGTTGGCGCGTTTGGCGCGTGCGTGCGTGTTTGGCGCGTGCGCGTTGGCGTTGGCGCGTTTGGCGTGTGTGCGTTGGCGCGCGTGCTTGGCGTGCGTTGCGCGTTGGCGTTGGTGCGTTGCGTGGCGCGTGTGCGTTTGCGCGTGGCGCGTGCGTTGGCGCGTTGGCGTTGGCGTTGTGTGCGTTGGCGCGTTGGCGTTGCGTGGCGTTGGCGTGTGCGCGCGTGCGTTGTGCGGGTGCGCGCGTTGGCGCCGCGTTGGCGCGTGCGCGGCGTGTGCGCGTCGGCGTGTGGGCGTCGGCGTGTGCGTCGGCGTGTGGGCGTCGGCGTGTGCGTCGGCGTGTGAAAAGACTCTACTGCACATGCTCAGTCGGCCCACAGACGCTGGAAGAACCTGACTGGGCTAAAGGAGAATCTGGGATCATGAGACATTGAGCTCGGCCCATTGACTTGAATGGTCGGCCATTTTGCAACCTGGGGGATTGTGTGGATCACATCTTCAGCCTTTGTCTCTCTTCTTCTTCTTCTACCCTTTCGATGTCCCTTTGGCGCTTGATCCTTCCGTCTGCTCTGCGTCTCTGAGTCCCACACACCGTCCACAAGCTGAGCACGAGGTGTAAAGAGGCGAAGGTTCACGCCACAAAACGGACGAAACACGGTTCACTCCAAATGAGAAACGAGACGCTCTGAACGTTACTGCAGAACAGTGACGCAATTTTGACTCTTTTTGGAGAGTTTATATCATGTGTACAATGATCTAATTCACACGATTTGCTACCGAACTAAAGACTCACTGGATCATTTTGACACAATCACCCAGAGTGAAAATCTTACACAACGTCTCTGCCGGGCCGCGGAGGCGTGCGGTTGTTGCTGCGGCTGTGGACGAGCCTGTCGGACTGGAGGCTTTTTGGAGTCACTGAAGTTTCTGTTCATCATGTGGTGTTTTTCTGATCTTGATGCTGAAACGTTCTTGTCTGTGTCTGGTCAGATGAATGTTTATTCTGTATAATCGACAAACAGTCACATTTTTTCTTTATTCTAGACCAGCCTGTTACACATGTGCATTAGGGACAGTGTCGGGGAGTAACAGATTACATGTACCAGAGTTATGTAATCAGAAGTACAAATGATGAGTAACTGTATTCAGTTAGTTACTGTTTCAGTGAGTGGTAATTGGATTACAGTTACTTTGCTGAAATAAGTGGATAACAAGGCAGTATTTTCCTGTTTTCACATTTTGTACTACATCCCATTTATTTTTTAATTTCGGTAATTCCACTCATTGCTGGAAACCCAAACAGAACACGGCAATAAGAGCGATGTAAACGTCATGTTCACGTTGGAGCGTCAGTCGCACAATGGACGAGGTGGAAGAGTCAGTAGAACAGAGCAGCAGTGCACAGGGAAAAACACACTTATGTCGTGGAAATTAAAAAAGTTAAATGTCAAACTGGAGCTACACAAACACACACACAAACACACACACACACACACACAAACACACACACAAATACACACACAAACACCAACACCTACCTTCGTCATCGACCTGAGAACGCGCGGACACAGTCATCCTCCCGTGCGTCGCGTGTGGATTGTGTTTTCTCGTGTACGCTGCGTAAACCGCGCTTCCTCCTGTGCACCTCTAAAACCAGGACTAAAACCAGGACTAAAACCAGGACTAAAACCAGGACTAAAACCAGGACTAAAACCAGGACTAAAACCAGGACTAAACAATGACACCTAACAGTAGGTTGGACATAATTTAAGTTGATCTCATATCAAAATAATTTCTCTATCAATAATATGTTTAATATGGTGAAGGAAAGGCTGATCTTGTTGTTTTCTTTGAGCAGATGAAACATCTTATGTGAACAGATTCTGCTCTTTGTTTCTCTACACTAAACAGTTGCTGATTCATGGAGACTTGGGCTCAACAGACAATTTGTAGAAAACAAACATGAATTTTCAGGATGTGGTTGGTACATTCATGTCGTTTTAAAAGGCATGACAGTATCAAGTAATCCAAAGTAATCAGACTACATTACTCATTTTAAGTAATTTAATGGATTCCGTTACAAACTACATTTTGCTGTGTGTAATCTGTAATCTGTAGGGGATTACATTTTAAAAGTAAATGTCCCAACACTGATTAGGGATGACACACACTGAGCGTGTAAAAGACTGATGGCCTGTATGATAGTGATTTCTTTTGTACTGGACTGAAAGGATCAGGACACGGTGCACGCCCACCACAACCTTCACCACAGTGAAGACACGGACGACCTGATTGTTCTTGACCCTGTGTATTTGTTACACGACACAGAGATGAGGCACCTGCTGTAGGAGCGTCTGGAACAGACCAGATCAAGTGTTGGATCAAGGCGTTCATGTTCTGCAGTAAAGAACAACGTTTGTTACTTCAAACACCAGGTCTTGATTGAACATGTGAAGGAAACATTTGGATTATTTTTCAATGGGGAAATAATACACCACGATAAAGAAGGTTTAATGTGACAATACAGCTCCGGCAGATTTGTGTCTCTGTGGGAGTGAATGAAGCGAGAGGAGGACACGCCTCCACACGAGGCTCCGCCTTTACCAGTTAAACTGATCACCAGATAATCCAGAACACCGACAGGAGACTCAGTGCTATGGGCTAAAGAGCCGGCTCTTTCAACTCCCAGATGGCTCCTCAGATTTTCTGCTTCTTATATTAAAAAAAACAAACAAAAAAAACATATCAAATGTTTATCCTTAAACGGCTTTATAATTTTGTAGCTCTCTGTTCAAGGTTGAGTGTGTTTGGAAAATAAAGTATAAAGTTTTCACCAGGTCTAAACCAGGACTAAACCAGGACTAAACCAGGACTAAACCAGGACTAAACCAGGACTAAACCAGGACTAAACCAGGACTAAACCAGGACTAAACCATGTTTTCACAAAAAAAGCAGAGGAAAGAAACACAAAAGGCACACTAAAAAAACTAAAATCTCCCGTCGTTCTTTGCAAAGAGCCGGATCGTTCACGACAGCACGACTAGAGAACTTTGAATTTATGATCCACGTGGTTCTTACAAATGCTCTGAAACACTTTTCACTTCCTGCTTGTCCTGCACGTTGTTCGTCACTTCTGCTTTTCCGGACATTCCCTTTGCGTCCAGAACTGTCTTCATTTGTCGTTCATTTGTTCGTTCATTTGTTGTTCATTTGTTTCGGGGGTTTGTATTTGTGTTTTTGCTGCGTGTAAATTTGTCTCGGCGTTTGTACAAGTATTTCATAAAACACATTTGCAGAAGAGCAAGCACATTTACAAAACACGGAACGTAAATTTGTTTCCAAGATGTAAATATGTCATTTAGTTTTCAAACTTGTTGATGTGTGTTGTGAAATGTAAAAGTGTTTTGCACTTGGTGGCCACGGTACTTTTGTGTACTTTTGTGTACTTTTGTGTACTTTTGTGTACTTTTTGATGGATCGAGGAGCCTGGATGAAGGATCAGGCTCCAGTGTCGTCCATTTGTTTTGCTTAAAGGTTGTATAGAGGATTTTTTTAAGGGAAGAGAAATACAGCGACAGTCCTTGTGCGCGTTCAGAATTACTGCTGAAGTTTCCTGTCTAGAAGTAATTCAGCGACCGACACGTCAGGTTTTAGACACTTCGTCTGCTTCGGTCGCGCCATCGCTGGACGAGATCTCCAAGAATCACCTCAGTTTGGCTTCGCTCCTTTTCCTCTTCTCTTCTTTCAGCGACCTCAAAAACGGACTTTCTTTTGCGGCGAACCGGTCGTGGATTCTCGTCCGCCATCGCGACAAACTTTATGCGAACTGCGAGGAAGCGACAGTTCGAAAAAGCCTCTAAGAACCGCCGCGTAAACCACGTAATCCCCGCGCTCCGACGAGTCAGTTACACTACGGAGTTTGATTGACAACCTAACAGCCAATAGAAAATGAGGGAGCCTCGTTTTCTATTGGCTGATGTTTCTCTGGCCTCAACACGTCCACAGTTGATAGATTTTCGTTCTTTTTTTTTTTGGTCATCATAATTACAAAGCTGCTGTGTCTCTGTAATGGTGTTTTAATCTTTCACTGACAGTTTGAAACTAAAAAAAATCCTCCATACAACCTTTAATGCTCCTTATAATCCTGTTTGATTTCTGTATGAAAACAGACGAGAGAATTCAACACTGATATTGCTCCTTTAATCCGGTGCACTTTTATAGTCTGAAAACTCTGGTACATTTTTAAATACAGAACGTTTCAACTTTGTCCTTTCTCCTCAGACACTCATCGCCTGCACCACGTGAGCAGCTTGGCCTGGTTAGATCCTCACACTCTGGTCACCACCTCTCACGACGCCAACGTAAAGCAGTGGACCATCACCTACTGAGACCGGAGACCAGACCTAGACCAGACCTAGACCGGGACTAGAGCGGGACTAGAGCCGGCCCGGGATTCGGACCAGGATCGCGGGGACTTGTGCGGACCCCAGACCCACGCTTGGCTTTGCAGGGTCTGAATGACGAATGCCTGTTGATGTGTGAGCTGTTGATTTAAACCTTCTCGTCGTTTTTGTCTTTTTATAATTTATGTAAAACACGGTTCATTGTTCACGCCATGGCCACTTTATTAGGTACGCCGCCTCGGACCCAGATTTTTCCGCTGGTTCATTCAGTTCAAAGTCTCCCTCAAGTCTCTTATTTTTCTGATGCTGGGCTCTTCCTTGGTCTAAACCAGGACTTGAACTTGGTCTAAACCAGGACTTGAACTTGGTCTAAACCAGGACTTGAACTAAAATGGGTCTAAACTCCACTGGAACTAAACCAGAACTTAAGATTAAAATGGATCTTTATTTTTGTACTTAAAACAACAAAAATGAGACTAAACCTGGACTGAGTCTGGACTGAGTCTGGACTGAGTCTGGACTGAGTCTGGACTGAGTCTGGACTGAGTCTGGACTGAGTCTGGACGAAAGTGCCCTGATTAAAATGAATGTTTATTTTTGTACTTATTATAAGAAAAACCAGGTCTGAACCAGGTCTGAACCAGGTCTGAACCAGGTCTGAACCAGGTCTGAACCGCTCTGATCATTATGGATTTTTATTTTTGTACTTATTTCAAGAGAAACCGGGTCTACACCGGGTCTACACCGGGTCTACACCGGGTCTACACCGGGTCTACACCGGGTCTACACCGGGTCGTCTCTTGTGTACCTAATAAAGTGGCCAGTGCATATTTTTCCTTTTTTTCCTCCGACCCTTTAAAGGTAAAATGATTGACAGCTGGACATTCCTTTGATTGTCTTCCCCTGGTCGTGTGAGCGTCTCCAGCAGAGGGCGCCGTTTAACTTGATGAAAAAAATCACACAAATATTCAAAACTCTCCAAAAATCTATTTTTACAGAATCTTTCCACTCGGCCCCGTTCATTTTTCCTACACACTTTTTATTGTGCTGAGCCCAGTGCAAAACTCCACACTGTAGAAAGAAGTGGACACGACGAAAACCCGCGAGCCGCCGCCGCCGCCGCCGCCGCTGCCGCCATCGTCCAGACAGGAAGTGAGCGTGTGCGCGAGTGTGGCTCCATCCACTCTGGCTCCGGGTCACTTTGTGTGTAAAAAAACGTGCTCACTTCTTTAGAGTCTGTGCTCTGAACCGACACCTGTCAAATAAAAGTTCAAAATGAAAATAACTTCATCATAAATAAAATAAAATACTTCAAACTAAAGTCCACGTTTACTTTTCAGTCAGATTTACATCAGAGACCGTGACTAAGACTAAGGCCCTAGAATCTAAACCAGGTCTACAACCGGGTCTGAACCAGGTCTACAACCGGGTCTGAACCAGGTCTGAACCAGGACTAAACTGGGTCTAAGCACAGTCCAAACATGGGCTTTCCCTAATTAAGTCTAAACCAGGTCTAAAAACAGGTCTGAGCTGGGACTAAAGCAGGTCCAAAATTGTTCTAAACCTAAACCAGAAGTTAACCAAGTCCAAGACCTAAACCAGGTCTAAACCAGGTCTAAACCAGGTCTAAACCAGGTCTAAACCAGGTCTAAACCAGGTCTAAACCAGGTCTAAACCAAGAAAACATGTCCAAAAAGGTTTAATAACTTCATATTTATTTCTGTAAAATTAAAAACTCAGATTTAAATGTCCAATCTGTGACTTTAAGCGATGAGGAAACTTTTCAGCTCTTGATGAAAAAAGTGGGTGGGTAAAATGAATGGGACTTTTACCCTGAAACGGCGCCCCCTGGTGACCCCCCCCCTCCAGCTCAGAACCATAAAGTGTCAGCCAACCTTGTCGTTCGGTCACATTCCTGGATCATCTCTGCGTCTCTTCTCATTTTGTGTTTTTGCCGTTTGCGTTTGATCTGACGACTTCCTGTTCGACTGTGGGAGGGCGGAGTACTTCAGGATACTTCAGGATACTGCAGTACTGTGTGTACTTTTACTGCGACTCTGAAGTGTATGTGCTGTCTGTGTGCGCACGGTGACGTCGGATATTTTCATGTTTTATGCATCGCTCTGAACCCCGGAGCGACGAGGAAATAAATCAGAAACATTTGGGTAAAAGTGATTTTCTGTGTCTGTTTTTGAGCAGTTTTCAGGAATTTTTCTTGAAAAAAATCAAGAAAAAAAAAAGAAAGTGATTTTAGTTTTAAAACACACACGAGGGCCCTGACACACACGGGGGGGGGCACCTGACACACACGGGGGGGAGGCACCTGACACACACGGGGGGGGGGGCACCTGACACACACACGGGGAGGGCACCTGACACACACACGGGGAGGGCACCTGACACACACGGGGGAGGGCACCTGACACACACGGGGGAGGGCACCTCACACACACGGGGGGAGGGCACCTGACACACACGGGGGGAGGGCACCTGACACACACGGGGGGAGGGCACCTCACACACACGGGGGGAGGGCACCTGACACACGATTCTTTTTGACTTACACAAACTTTATTGATCCTGAAGGGAAATGATTTGGACACAGGAGTCACACTTTAGTCACAATTTAATAGAATAACAAAGAGTCAAAAATATAAATAAATGGTAAAAATAAAAAGCAAAAGACAATTATAAAAATATAAATGTAAAAGTCAAAATAAAATTGAAAATAATAAAAAATCTTAGCAATAAACAAGAACAGAGGAAGAAAAATGATACAACGATCTGTTACATAAGAGTGAGTTGTACAGTTGTAGGGAGTATTATCTGTTACATAAGGGTGAGTTGTACAGTTGTAGGGAGTATTATCTGTTACATAAGGGTGAGTTGTTGTACAGTTGTAGGGAGTATTATCTGTTACATAAGGTGAGTTGTACAGTTGTAGGGAGTATTATCTGTTACATAAGGGTGAGTTGTACAGTTGTAGGGAGTATTATCTGTTACATAAGGGTGAGTTGTACAGTTGTAGGGAGTATTATCTGTTTACATAAGGGTGAGTTGTTGTACAGTTGTAGGGAGTATTATCTGTTACATAAGGGTGAGTTGTTGTACAGTTGTAGGGAGTATTATCTGTTACATAAGGGTGAGTTGTTGTACAGTTGTAGGGAGTATTATCTGTTACATAAGGGTGAGTTGTTGTACAGTTGTAGGGAGTATTATCTGTTACATAAGGGTGAGTTGTACAGTTGTAGGGAGTATTATCTGTTACATAAGGGTGAGTTGTACAGTTGTAGGGAGTATTATCTGTTACATAAGGGTGAGTTGTACAGTTGTAGGGAGTATTATCTGTTACATAAGGGTGAGTTGTACAGTTGTAGGGAGTATTATCTGTTACATAAGGGTGAGTTGTACAGTTGTAGGGAGTATTATCTGTTACATAAGGGTGAGTTGTTGTACAGTTGTAGGGAGTATTATCTGTTACATAAGGTTGAAGAGTTGTACAGTTGTAGGGAGTATTATCTGTTACATAAGGGATGAGTTGTACAGTTGTAGGGAGTATTATCTGTTACATAAGAGTGAGTTGTACAGTTGTAGGGAGTATTATCTGTTACATAAGGTGAGTTGTACAGTTGTAGGGAGTATTATCTGTTACATAAGAGTGGGAGTTGTACAGTTGTAGGGAGTATTATCTGTTACATAAGGGTGAGTTGTACAGTTGTAGGGAGTATTATCTGTTACATAAGGTGAGTTGTACAGTTGTAGGGAGTATTATCTGTTACATAAGGTGAGTTGTACAGTTGTAGGGAGTATTATCTGTTACATAAGGTGAGTTGTACAGTTGTAGGAGTATTTATCTGTTACATAAGGGTGAGTTGTACAGTTGTAGGGAGTATTATCTGTTACATAAGGGTGAGTTGTACAGTTGTAGGGAGTATTATCTGTTACATAAGGGTGAGTTGTACAGTTGTAGGGAGTATTATCTGTTTACATAAGGGTGAGTTGTACAGTTGTAGGGAGTATTATCTGTTACATAAGGGTGAGTTGTACAGTTGTAGGGAGTATTATCTGTTACATAAGGGTGAGTTGTACAGTTGTAGGGAGTATTATCTGTTACATAAGGGTGAGTTGTACAGTTGTAGGGAGTATTATCTGTTACATAAGGGTGAGTTGTACAGTTGTAGGGAGTATTATCTGAGGTTCAGACACAGGTGAGTGTCACATAAAAACTCTCAGGATGTGATGTGTTTTTTCGTTTACTGTGTAAAAAGAATGTGCCCAAACCAAGTCACTTATAGAAATGCAAAAAATGTTTCTGTCACATGATCCTCAGGCTTCACATCCACACAAATACTCTCTAAAACAGATTCATTCTTTGTTTGACACTCATTTATTGTGAAATTAAAAAAAAAAAGATCATATCAAATAATAATAATAATAAAATAACAATAAGTAAAGTTCAGAGTAGAACAATAACTGGTGGAATGGGAACAGTTATGTAATTACAGACAAGTGAATGTAAAAAGAACAAATTACAGAGTTGGAAGTTTAAAAGTAATTTCAGATTTTTAATTTAGTGTAAATGTCGTCTAATGAACCAAACCATCATCAGGTTTAGTTTGGGAAATGTTCCTTTTGCAGTGTAAAGATGAGCTGCCAGACGAGTTTCAGCTGTGAAAATATGAGGAAGTTTAAGTCTATAAATGTCAAGTACAATGAGCACAGTTCTGAGAGTCTCTCAGAGCAGCAGACAGGAGCAGACAGGAGCAGACAGGAGCAGACAGGAGCAGACAGGAGCAGACAGGAGCAGACAGGAGCAGACAGGAGCAGACAGGAGCAACAAAGTCAACATGAAGATGATGAAGACTTGTGTGAAGCAGTTGTCTCTAACTGTTGTGTTTGTTTGCATCAGCTCAGGTGAGAGCTCACACAGGTTTAGTCCTGATCTGTTTCTTTGTCTCTGAGTGAATTCACTGTTTGAAATGAGTGAGTGTGGGTTGGTTTTGGTTGAAGGTAAAATTCCATGTGTACTGCTATTGTTCTGTACAAATACAACAGTCCAGGGGCTCCTTCCTTCCAGTGTCCAAGACAGACCCATAGTGGAACCTGGTGCAGCTCACAGCAGTCAGAGCTTTTGGACGCTCTTCTTATATTTCCCTGCATTTTCTTTGGTGGAGTTGGAAAGATCGTTGTGTTTTCCGTGACATTATTTGTAACACAAATATATTAGGTCTATATATTATACCTAGAACCTTTATTTATTTTACAAAAAAGGGCCTTGAGAATGATCACCAACAGTCATTATACTGTAGAGAACCATCCAACCCAATATCTGCTCAACTTAAGGTGTTGAAAATGCAGGATATTGTCGACTTAAGTCTCCTCAAAGTCGTGTATAAAGCAAAGTGGAATGTGTTACCTGTAAATATTCAAAGACTGTTTGAGATGAGAACAAAACACTATAATTTAAAAGGAACCGACATGTTTAAAAAACCCAGATTCAGAACCGAGGTTATGGAGCGAAGCGTCGCTGTGAAAGGAGTTAAACTTATGGAAGAGTCTTGACAAAGAAATAAAAGAATCAAGAACAATGACGACATTTAAAAAACATATCAAATCAAATGCAGTGTGTTTGTATGAAAAAGAAAACTACGTTGTTGTGCATAATAATGAAGATTTACTGTTTGCAGTTGATCAGTAATTGTGCCTGAACTGATCTGGAATGTTTCGTGAACATCGGTGTTGATGTTTTGTCTTGAAAAGGAAAAGGGGGCAGAGAACAGAAGATTTTTTTCTTCTTTCTGTTCCTTTTCATTCATTTCTTGTGTGTCTGATGTTGTGACACTGTCGATGTCTTTTTATGCTTTATGAGCTAAATAAATAAATAAATAATAATAAATAATAAAATATATATATTGATATTAGGGGTTTTGCATAAAACACAGTTGAGGTAAAGTCTGTTTTATCGGAGTCAAGGCTCATCAAATCTTCTGTTCTGTTCCATCAACACGACTAACCTCCAACAATGTCTAAAGTCGCTCTTAAATCAGATGTTTGTGCATGTGCACTGTCACACCTGTTATGTCCTGTTCACTCACAAATCACATCAAACGTCCGGCGACGCTTGAAAATTCACCGTCAAGGATCAAACTGAAACAGAGACGTGTTTCCTGCTGCACGTGATCACTCTCGAATTTAATCCTCAAATCTGTAAACCTGTGATGTAAATAAAAATAATTTAGGCTCCAGTTTAAACAGTTGTGGTATGGAGCTGCTACACCTGTGTGTCAAGTGAAAAAGCCCAGCCCCTCTGCTCCGAGTCCTCACCTCCTCTTCAAACCCATTCTCCTCTCCTCCCCCCTCAACAGTTTATCAGTTTATCAGTTTATTAGTTTATCAGTTTATTAGTTTATCAGTTTATCAGTTTATTAGTTTATCAGTTTATTAGTTTATCAGTTTATCAGTTTATTAGTTTATCAGTTTATTAGTTTATCAGTTTATCAGTTTATTCAGTTTTTAGTTTATCATTTATTAGTTTATCAGTTTATCAGTTTTTAGTTTATTAGTTTATCAGTTTATCAGTTTATTAGTTTATTAGTTTTAGTTTATCAGTTTATCAGTTTATTAGTTTATCAGTTTATCAGTTTAGTTTATCAGTTTTTAGTTTTCAGTTTATTAGTTTATCAGTTTATTAGTTTATCAGTTTATCAGTTTATTAGTTTATTAGTTTATCAGTTTATCAGTTTTTAGTTTATCAGTTTATCAGTTTTATTATTAGTTTATTAGTTTATCAGTTTATCAGTTTAGTTTATCAGTTTATCAGTTTATTAGTTTATCAGTTTATTCAGTTTATTAGTTTTAGTTTATCAGTTTATCAGTTTATTAGTTTATCAGTTTATCAGTTTAGTTTTCAGTTTATTATTAGTTTATTCAGTTTATCAGTTTATTAGTTTATCAGTTTATCAGTTTATCAGTTTATCAGTTTATCAGTTTATCAGTTTATCAGTTTATTAGTTTATTAGTTTATCAGTTTATTAGTTTATCAGTTTATTAGTTTATCAGTTTATCAGTTTATCAGTTTATTAGTTTATCAGTTTATCAGTTTATTAGTTTATCAGTTTATTAGTTTATCAGTTTATTAGTTTATTAGTTTTCAGTTTATCAGTTTATTAGTTTATCAGTTTATCAGTTTATTAGTTTATTAGTTTATTCAGTTTATCAGTTTATTAGTTTATCAGTTTATCAGTTTATTAGTTTATTAGTTTATCAGTTTATCAGTTTATTAGTTTATCAGTTTATCAGTTTATCAGTTTATTAGTTTATCAGTTTATCAGTTTATCAGTTTATTAGTTTATCAGTTTATCAGTTTATCAGTTTATCAGTTTATTAGTTTATCAGTTTATCAGTTTATTAGTTTATCAGTTTATCAGTTTATTAGTTTATCAGTTTATCAGTTTATTAGTTTATCAGTTTATCAGTTTATCAGTTTATTAGTTTATCAGTTTATCAGTTTATTAGTTTATCAGTTTATTAGTTTCTCTGCTCATTTAACTCGGCCCAGTTCACAGACACAAACCAAACCAGGAATGTGAAGGAAAAACACAGAGACACCGGTGAAGAAATCTACCTGTGAAATTAGTTTGTTCTTAAATTAAACAGAATATTCACATTACTTCACAGTAAATTAATAAATTAGTTAAAAATAGTACTATATAATTCCACATAAAATAATCAAATATAAATATATAAAAATATAAAAAAATACATAAAAGTTATATTTAAGATTAAAAGTGAATGGGTAAAATGTTACACTGTTTAGAATGAAAATAGATTATAATACAAATAAAAATGTTAATTTAATCTGATTATTCCACATATTAAGTTTTTGACCTGCTGCTACTGAAGAAGCTGAAAAATGTCAGTAAAAGTCTTCAGGCGGAGTTGAGCCTTGGGTCTGTTTTCCGGGTTTTTCAAGTTGGAGCTGCATTCGTCAGTGAAAGATTGGACACTGTGTTTATTCTACTGTTTGTGAGCCGCCCAAAGTCGCCGAGAGTGAGAAGAGAGAGAAAATCCTCGACCACATGACGCAGACGACGCACTGGATCAAACGTCTCTATTGTGGATAGAAATGTATGTTTTTTTTCTAGTGGCTCTCAACACTAAGTCATGCATGTTATGTTCTTCTGGCTTTTTCTTTTTTTTGTAAAGATTTTCTAGTTAGAATGAGTTTGATATAAACATGACAGATAAGTGTCAGAGAAATGGAGTCTGTACTTGAAGACAGGCTGCTTCCTTGGCCACGTCTCTCTTGAAAAAGACATTCTGAATCTCAATTCGACCTCCTGGTTAAATAAAGGTCAAATAAAAATAGAAGAGCAAAACTGAATAATAATTTATTATGAATGAACGTGACATTCTTAAACATCAGCTGAACTTCACTCCAGGTTTTGAGTTTCACTGATAATGTTTGTGATGCTGTTGAGCTTTAGAAATGTAGAAGTTTGGTCAGTTTGTGAATGGAGGCAGATGTCCTGGGGTAATCCTGGTCTTTTCTCTTACAGCTGCTGGACTGGTGTGTATGTACTGTACCGACTCGAGTTGTTCCTCACAGTCTCCACAGATATGCTCCTCCTCGCAGACTCTGTGTTACACAAGTGCTGTCAACGGTAACTATCAACACAACTATCTGCAAAACTACAGCAGGATAAAAGACCTGGTCACAATATCATGAACTGAACGGTCAGTTTAGGAACAGTCTGGGGGATGGAGTTCTCAGGGTCGTGTTCACGAGTGAGGGGAGGATGGAGGATGGGCGGTGATGTGGTGTGTGTGTCAGATGCCCTCCCAGCGTCTGCACTGATGCGGTTGCTGTATTGGACTGTTGTGGTTAAGAAAGAGCTCAGTCCAAAGGCAAAGCTCTCGATTTACTGCTCAAGCCACGCTCCACCTCAACTACAGTCCTGGTTTAGTCCTGGTTTAGTCCTGGTTCAGATCTCTGGTCCTATGGGTATTGATTGAAAGGAGAAGATGGTGGACACAGGTGGTCAAATGACTTTGTCGGAGGAGCTTGGAGTAGAGCTGCTGCTCCACGTGGAGAGGAGCAGCTGAGGCTTGGGCATGTGGGCGACAGTAGCTCAGCTCAGAGTGTTTGTCCACTGATTTAAAGGTTGGTGGTTTGAATCTTGCTCTGGTGGGAAAGTGCTGTATAAAAATTAGGGCTGGGCAAAAATAAAAATATTAATTGCATTAATCGCATGAGTTTGATTGCGATTAATCGCGATTAATCACATGTTATACGCAAAACCAATTAATGAATTAAAAAGTAGCGTATAGCGCACTTTTATTGGAAATGTAAACAAAAGAGCCATACATTTGTTGTGCAAACAGCATTTGTTTCAGAGGGGAACTGAACAGTAAACTGTAAACAAGTGTGTGTGTTAGTTTCAGAGGAGTTTCAGTGTAGTTAGCTCCTCCCTACAGGCAGATATAAGGCAGTGTCCACCAGCGTCTGACCAGAACTGAAGAAGCAGCTTGGAGGAACTTAATTAATTCTATCAAAAAGCTTTTGACCCAGGGCGACCAGATGTGTCGAAAAATTGGGGACAGTCTCAAAATCTAAGCTGTTGTCTCGAATTCTGAATCCAGCCCTGAATGTCCCAAAAATTCCACTCCAACAGAATACTGAGTAGTTATTTTCCTATAAACATTAACAACTGTTGGTAGAGAGGTTGAGTCGACTGCAGCTCTGACTGCTGCTGATAGGCTACACAGCCCATGACGACTTCTGGTGGCTGCGACCTCTAAAACCATGTACACATACAAAGCATCAAATCGTGCCTCCACTTTACTGTACTGTATTGTCTTTAAAAGAACCCAAGAAGTTAGAATTTCAATTCTTTGCTATGGATCCTACCTGGACGACTGAGGGATTACACAAACATTTGAACATGTCATACCTTGCCATCCCTTTGATAACACTCTATTTGAAACTGTAATGTACAAATGCTGAATCTGATCATTGATATTAGTGACTAGAGATAAGAAGCTTCTATATTCCACAAAATGTTCTCTTGTGAGTTTAAGCCATGTTATAATGTTGTTATCTCATCCAAAACAGACCTGGAGTTGTGTTTTGTTACATTCACATGTTTGAGTAAACCTGTTTTAACACATGACATCACAAGGTGGAACAGAGTGTTTTCCATTTAATAGAAGAACTCAGCCTAAACTTACAGGGTTTGTGTGTTAAACATGTGTGAATGAAACAAAACACAACTGTGTTTTTGATGAGGAAACAACATTATAACAGAGCTCAGACAAAGACATAATATGGGCTCTTTAAATTGGCCCATAGAATGTAGTGATGTCATGTGAAACCAGCAGTAGGTTTATCCTGTTACTGTTGTGTTCCAGACTCTGGGACGATCACGATCACTAAAGGCTGTACGTATCCAGGGGACTGGAAATGTTCTGATGGAGGCTTCTTCTACTCGTACAACCTCGGCTCCTCGTTCCTCCAGAACACCACATGCTGTGACTCACACCAGTGTAACTCCGCCCAGCTCCCCAGTGAGTGACACTGCCCAAACTCTCCACCCTCCCACATCATGCATTAACCTGTGTTGTGTTTCAGTCCCTGCGCCCCCTGCTGGCTCTCTGCAGTGCTACGGCTGGGACCCTGATACTGAAGTGTCTACTGCAAATGTGACCTGCAACGTCCAGGAAGTGTGTGGAGGATTTGGTCAGTGTGTTCAATAAGCTGTGGAAACTGGATCAATTATTATTATTATTATTATTATTATTATTATTATTATTATTATTAGACAAATAAGTAATTTATTGATCACAGAGGAGGGGAAACTCAGTGTCCAGTAGCAAACTGTGAATGTCCTACACAACAAGCACAAAGCTGCACATGAATGTCACACTACATGAATCATTCAAAGTTACTAACAATAATATTGAGGTGCACATTAGCCAGATCTTATGTCCTCAGTCCTACAGGCTGCAGCTGCTCCTCTGGACAGTGTCACTCACACACTCCACTTTCATACTAGGTAATGTGGGTGAAGTGCCTTGCCTAAGGACACAACCACAGTTTTGTGACTGGCGCCCCCCTGTGGCACCTGAGTTTCCCAGCGCTCTCACATCCAGCCTATGGTAGTAAAATGCCACGAGTGGAGAGTTGGGGCGAGGCGGGAGAGAGCGAGCAGGGAGAATCACAATAGGTCAGGTGTGTGATAAACGTTTATAAAGACCAATCACTTGATTTGAGTTTGGTCTCTTCTTCACCCACGGACCCACGTGACGACTGCAATGTGAAGGAATCAGGAGAAGCACCAGATTTGACGTCACATTTTCTCCAAACTTCAGTCTCTCCCATAGAACTCCATTGAGTTCACTCTGACCCAGAGCACTCAAAGAGCAAACACATGAATGAAATAAAGTAATATGAGCACATTTAACATTATAAAAATATGTCTACGCACATTTTAATCAAAATGTGAAGCAAACGGCGTAAAACAAATTAACAACTTTATTCATTTCTGTCTAGGACATGTTAGGGAGTGTAGCGCCCCCTATTGACCAGCCGCCACTGTCTTAGTGTAAACAGACCTAAATCTGGTGCCACTGGGGTCACTCCACAGAACAGGGGCGTTTTCACACCACTAGTTTGATTATTTGGTCGCAGCAGGCAATAAAATTGTTATTATGTATCATATAGACTCCAGTGTGGTCCACTTTCACACTGGCAAATGAACCTAAATTGGTCCGATTGTTGTGCCTCTGTTTCTCAGGGGAACAGTGATATCTCCAATTACCAATATCGATGTTCCCTGTTAAGACCACGGGCCGTCCTCATCTCAAGTTTCACCATGAACTCATAAAACAGCAACATGTAGAACTTTGTTCAAACTCACTGCATCAGCCCAGAGCAGAAGCTCTGAGCTCGAGCAACAGCGACGGGGCTGGGGTCTGGTCTTTGGTCTGGTCCTCTGAGCGCGTTGGTCAGATCGATCCGGAGGCTCCATCCTCCATGTGCTGGTTCCACACGGGGATGAGCAAGACCAGTGTGCAGTGGACTGGGTCTGAGCGGTTCTGTGCCGTCGTCTGCGCGCTGGATCTGTGCACAGAAAGCGAGAATGTGCAGTGGACTACAGGTCCGGGCAGGCTGCTCCGGTCCCCTGTGCTGGTTCCGAGGTGGTGCAAAACATCCAGACAGAAGCGCAAATCCATTTTGGTTGGTTCTATGTTGCAGTCCATCCACACACTCCCGGGGAAAGCTCTTCTCAGGCCGAGGCTCCTGACACCACTCCCCACTCCGGTTCATCTGAGCCCGACCTGAACTGGAGCTGCTCCCGCTGGGTCAGGACTCTGGTTTGGATCTAGTCCAACTGTATTTCTCACACTAGGCTAAAAGCAGGACATTTTTGAAGTTGTATCACTTGAATAGGCTATTGCCTGTTTGTAGTGCGGGTACAATACTCTCTTGTCCCACTCATGCTCTCTGATTTACCATCTCCCTGTGTGCGTTTGGTCACGTGACCACGAGCAACCAATCAGCTAGCTATATTAGCACAAACCCCAGAAGCGCAGCAGATTCACGAGAGACAAACAAACGAATGTGTGCTGCAGGTACGTTTTAACTTCATTTCATCTTATTTCACTGTGACAAGTTGCCAAACTCCACAATCCCTCGGAGCCAACTAGCACCACCCAAAAGCTTCAAGTGAGTGTTGATGAATGATATGGACCTGGTAAGTCTGTGCTTGAGCCTTAGCATTTTCCTTTGGTTGTGTGGGTTAGTTTAGCCTAGCCCAGGGGTCGGCAACCCACGGCTCCGGAGCCGCATGCGGCTCTTTAGCTCTCCCCTAGTGGCTCCCTGAAGCTTTTTCAAAAATGAGTGAAAATGGAAAAGGAATGATTTCTTTGGTTGTTGTTTTAATCTGATTTGTTTCGGGGTAAAACCCTCGTTCATCTGCTCATGGATCTGATCCATCAGCTGTGTGTGAATGAAACACATGAAAAGTGTTTCAGCAGAACAAACAGATGAGCTGAAGTGGGGGGTGGTGTCCACCTCCACCTGAGAAGCACTTTCCCCGAAAAAACAAAACAAAAAAACACATGCGCAGACGGACGCTCAGAACAACATATAACGAACCAAACGAGATTCATGCCTCTGTCCGAACGCTTTGCACCCCCTTGGAACCAGCCGCAGTCGAGCGCAGAGGACCAGAGCAGCCCGGACCTGTGGTCCACAGAACATTCTCGCTTTTCCTGCAAGGAACCAGAGCACAGATGAAGCACTGAAGCACTCAGACCCAGTTCTTTGTGCTGGTCTTACTCATCTCCGTCTGGAACCAGGACATGGAGGACGAAGCCTCTGGACCATCTGACCAACACTGGACCCTCAGCCCCGTCTTGAGGAGCTGCTCCCGTGTGTTTGGCATTGCTGCCTGAGCTCAGAGCTTCTGCTCCGAGCGGTGTGGTGTGGTGAGTTGCGTACAAAGTTCTACATGCTGCTGTTTTCTGAGTGCTCCTGTGCACGATCAGAAGAAATGTGACTGCTGCTCTGAATGTTTCCATCATCGTCGTCATAGCAACAGGTAAACGTCGGTCACACTTTCAGCGCGTCAGCTCCTAAAACTCCGTTTATCTCAGTTTACACGCAAACGTGAAACCGGATTTTTCCAAAATCTCCACTCTAGCCGGAGTTTTTAGAAAGATTCGTTTTCAGAGGCGAATTTGCCATTTTCGTGTAAACGATGTGAACAAACGAAGGGAAATGTCTCAGTTTTAAAAAATACCCGTGTACGTGTAAACTAGGCCTAAATGACAAAGGAATAAACACTGACCACCTGATTTCAGTGTCTACAGACGGAGCAGCGAGTGTGAGAGGGTCAGAGAGGGGTTTGTGTATCATGAATGTTCATTTTGTATTTGTAGCCGACTTAGTCATTTTAATAGTCGGTTTATACAGTTCATATACTGACAGCCTGTGTTGTCTTCATATTAGGCTTATATCAGACTTTTAATTTTTTGCGGCTCCAGGCAGGTTTGGTTTTTGTTTTTTGGGCCAATATGGCTCTTTGAACATTTTGGGTTTCCGACACCTGGTCTAGCCGCTCCCACTGGTTCCTATGGGTCTGGTTAGCAATCACTTTATGCCAACTTTCTGCATTTTCCTCTGTAATACTGTGGTCTAACTGACATGTAATCACCTTCAAATGATTACTTATTTTGTCTTATATAGCCCATTTGTTTATTATGCACCTTGTGGCGTTTTTGAGCTAAACATTGTGCCTTAAGCACTCAGCACTTTAAATACTAAGCTGTTATACCACTTGAAGGCACTTTAATTCAAAAGAAGAGTTTTAATTAATCATTTTAAAGTTATTTGATTAATTAATTTAATATTATATATTTATACTTTGAATTATGTGCATACAGATTGTATGGTCCTGTTCTTTATACAGGCCAGGTCTCCATGGTGAGTTAAGCCCAGGTTCTAGTCTACTGACCCCAACTGATATTCAACTCAACTCCTGCCAGGAACCTCGACACCCCCACTCCCTCTGTCCGGGCTGGTAGGAGGCTCTTGTAGCCGGCGTTAGAACTCTCACACCTCCACGCACCTCCACACACCTCCACAAACCTCCACGCTCCTCCTCGCTCCTCCACACACCTCCACCACCTCCACGCACCTCCACGCACCTCCACGCTTCTCCACGCACCTCCACACACCTCCACAAACCATCACGCTCCTCCACAAACCCCCACACACCTCCACAAACCCCCACACACCTCCACAAACCTCCACGCTCCTCCACGCACCTCCACAAACCTCCACGCACCTTCACAACCCTCTACACACCTCCACGCTCCTCTACAAACCTCCACGCTCCTCCACAAACCTCCGCAAACCTCCACAAACCTCCACAAACCTCCACGCTCCTCCACGCACCTCCACAAACCTCCATGCACCTCCACAAACCTCCACAAACCTCCACAAACCTCCACGCTCCTCCACGCACCTCCACAAACCTCCACAAACCTCCACAAACCTCCACGCACCTAAACGCACCTAGCACTACGACCCCACCCGTTCAATCACTCGCTCCCACTCCTCACGGACACTTCCCTTCTGGACTCATGCTCGGGTCGTACGAGCTACTTTTACTACCGTGCATCACGAACTGTGCCTACTGCGTTGATCTGTGCCTTCCAGATTAATTTCTCTTTTTTTGGACATTCGGACTCTGAGTGTTCTGCGTTGTAAATATATGGTCTACCTCACTGAACTTCAGTGTATTGTTAATGTTTGAATTTTCAATGAATGGACATTCATTTATTTTTTTTTGTCTTTTGTCTATACTCCAATACATGGCACTATCTAAAGTAATTTCAGTCTCTGCCTCCTCTCTCCCTGAGCTGTACCTAGTCTTCTGGTTCCTAGCCCATAGTTATTACAGTCCATTACACTGCATTATTATCTTGTAATTACACTATTATTACATGGTAACATGGTATAAAGCTGAATATAATACCCTATATCATTTATTATTATCCTGCTCCACATTGCCAGAAAATTATTTGGTTAATTAACAAATGCTGGTTGCTACGTGAACACGGGGAACACCAGGACCTCTCTGAGTGTGTAAGCCCCAGTATTCGAACACAGGTACACACCCCCCATTTTGACTCAGTATAGTGACACATTCGCACGTTAGTACTCACTCTGATCTTCGTTTATTACATTCTCTATATTGGCCTCTGTTGGCAAAAAAATTTAAAATTCTAAAATGAGTTGCAGCTGCGTCTGAAGAACAATCTGTTATTGCTGGAGTCGTATAGTGCGTCATTTCAGGCAGAGGAGACACATATCCCCTCCCATGATGCATTTCAAATAGTTCCTTTAGACCTACTGTCTCTGGTTTAGACCTGAGTTTACGTTCACACCAGAGGAACTGCACCAGAGTTTGGCATTTGGCCACCTCTTTCTTGAGGTCCGCTTGATTTAGTGCAGATCCAAGTCCGACTGGTGCTTTCACACCAATGTAAAAGAACTGAACTAAGAGCTTTTGGTTCAAATGGACCGTTTGGTGTGCACCAACTGCTGTCAGTGTGAAAGCACCCAAGGAGTCACAGCATGTTGCTAGAAAAGTTACTCAAGTAAATGTAACTGAGTTCTACCCACCTCTGATTGTATCCACCAGATTAAGAGCTCTTGAGTTGATTGTGCATAATATGTGTTTTGGTTTAGTTACATTTGCCCACTGTAGTCCTGTGCTCTGTTCACGCTGCATGTCTTTGTCTTTGTCTTTGTTGTTGGTGTTAGTTACGTCAAACCTGCGGCCGCTCTACGGCTGTGTCTCTGAGAACATCTGCAACAGCAGTCTGACCACAGCGGTGTCCATGGGCCAGTCATATGTGTCCCTGAGTCAGTCAACTGTGTGCTGCAACACGTCCCACTGCAACCCCCCAGGTCTGTCCACTGTACATGTCCACACACATGTCCCACACACACATGTCCCACACACACATGTCCACACACACACATGTCACACACACACACACACACACATGTCCCACACACACATGTCCCACACACACATGTCCCACACACACATGTCCCACACACATGTCCCACACACACATGTCCACCCACACACACATGTCCCACACACACATGTCCCACACACACATGTCCACACACAGACACATGTCCACACACACACACACACATGTCCACACACACAGACACATGTCCACACACACACACACACACACATGTCCCACACACACATGTCCCACACACACATGACACACACACACACATGTCCCACACACACACACATGTCCACACACACACATGTCCCACACACACCACATGTCCCACACACACATGTCCACACACACACACACACATGTCACACCACACACACACATGTCCACACACACACACATGTCCCACACACACATGTCACACACCACACACACATGTCCCACACACACACATGTCCACACACACACATGTCCCACACACACATGTCCCCACACACACATGTCCACACACACACATGTCACACACACACACATGTCCACACACACACACACACATGTCCCACACACACACATGTCACACACACACACACACATGTCCCACACACATGTCCACACACACACACATGTCCCCCACACACACATGTCCCACACACACACATGTCCCACACACATGTCCCACACACACATGTCCCACACACACACATGTCCCACACACCACATGTCCCACACACACATGTCACACCCACACACACATGTCCCACACACACATGTCACACCACACACACACATGTCCCACACACACACATGTCCCACACACACACACACATGTCCCACACACACACATGTCCCACACACACATGTCCCACACACACATGTCCACACACACACACACACACACATGTCCACACACACACATGTCCACACACACACACATGTCCCACACACACATGTCCACACACACATGTCCCACACACACATGTCACACACACACACACATGTCCACACACACACACACACACACATGTCCCACACACACATGTCACACACACCACACACACACACACACACATGTCCACACACACACATGTCCCACACACACATGTCCACACACACACACACACACATGTCCCACACACACATGTCCCACACACACATGTCCACACACACACACACACACACATGTCCCACACACAGACACATGTCCCACACACACATGTCCCACACACACACATGTCACCACACACACACACACACACATGTCCCACACAGACACATGTCCCACACACACACATGTCCCACACACACATGTCCCACACACACACATGTCCCACACACACATGTTCCACACACACACATGTCCCACACACACACACATGTCCCACACACACATGTCCCACACACACACATGTCCACACACACACACACATGTCCCACACACACACATGTCCCCACACACAGACACATGTCCCACACACACACATGTCCCACACACACACATGTCCCACACACACATGTCCCACACAGACACATGTCCCACACACACATGTCCCACACACACACACATGTCCACACACACACACACATGTCACACACACACACACATGTCCCACACACAGACACATGTCCCACACACACATGTCCACACCACACACACACATGTCCCCACACACACACACATGTCCCACACACACATGTCCCACACACACACATGTCACACACACACACACATGTCCACACACACACACATGTCCCACACACACATGTCCACACACACACACACACACATGTCCCACACACACATGTCCCACACACACATGTCCACACACACATGTCCACACACACACACACATGTCCCACACACACACACACACATGTCACACACACACATGTCACACACACACACACACATGTCCCACACACACACATGTCCACACACACACACACACACATGTCCCACACACACATGTCACACACACACACACACATGTCCCACACACACATGTCCCCACACACACACACATGTCCACACACACACACACACATGTCCCACACACACACATGTCACCACACACACACATGTCCCACACACACAGACACATGTCCCACACACATGACACATGTCCACACACACACACATGTCCACACACACACACATGTCCCACACACACATGTCCCACACACACATGTCCCCACACACACATGTCCCACACACACATGTCCACACACACACACACACACACACATGTCCCACACACACATGTCCCACACACACATGTCCACACACACACATGTCACCACACACACATGTCCCACACACACACATGTCCACCACACACACACACACATGTCCCACACACACACACACACATGTCCCACACACACACACATGTCCCACACACACATGTCCCACACACACACACATGTCCCACACACAGACACATGTCCCACACACACATGTCCCACACACACAGACACATGTCCCACACACACACACACACATGTCCCACACACACATGTCCCACACACACACACACATGTCCCCACACACACACACATGTCCCACACAGACACATGTCCCACACACACATGTCCCACACACACAGACACATGTCCCACACACAGACACATGTCCCACACACACATGTCCCACACACACACACACATGTCCACACACACACACACACATGTCCCACACACACACATGTCACACACACACACACACACATGTCCCACACACACACATGTCACACACACACACACACACATGTCCCACACACCACATGTCCCACACACACATGTCCCACACACACACACACATGTCCCACACACACATGTCCCACACACACACATGTCCCACACACACACACACACATGTCCCACACACACATGTCCCACACACACACACACACACATGTCCCACACACACACATGTCCCACACACACACATGTCCCACACACACACATGTCACACACACACACACACATGTCCCACACACACACACACATGTCCCACACACACACATGTCCCACACAGACATGTCCCACACACACACATGTCCCACACACACACACACACATGTCCCACACACACACATGTCCCACACAGACATGTCCCACACACACATGTCCCACACACACATGTCCACACACACACATGTCCCACACACACACACACACATGTCCCACACACACACATGTCCCACACACACACATGTCCCACACACACACATGTCCCACACACAGACTGTACAAAGAAGTGGACTAAAGGAGTGTGTCGTCTTCCACAGCGTTCGGCTCCAGTCAAATGAAGCTTATGAGGCTAGCAGTTATGGGTCGAGCAGAGTTTCATATTAGGAACAGGAATTTATTTATGGACACAAAAGCAAAATAAAAACTCCAGGATCATGTAGAGTGGGTTATTACGAACATTTTAAGACCAAAATGAGGAGCCTGACAGCAGCAGTTACAGAGAGAGGGGATGTTTTTTCAATACAAAGTGAATTGGACCCAGAGTCGATGGAGCTGAATTGTGCCCATGCTCACTTCCTGTTTGGAACTGGCTAGTGGGTTAGTTATATCCACTTACATATACAGTCTATAGTCCCACATATGTCCACCACTGTCCAAAACAGGTCCAGAGTCCATCTCAATTGTCCAGAATATTTCCAGTGTCTCAGTTCTATTTTCCACTGTCCTCAGTGTTTCCCAGATACGTCCACTCAGGTCCTAAACATGTCCAAGACTTTTGCCCACTCTTTGAAATATGACCAATGTCCCAAGTCTGTCTCTATTGTCCTAAATGTGTCCAGTCTCCCAGGTCTGTCCCCACAGTGTTTCAGCACGTGGTCCTTGTCTCAAACTGGTCTTGTCCAGACTGAATGGAGTCTTTCTGTCACAGAGCTGGGGCCGCAGTGCAACTACTGTTCAGGTTCCACCTGCTCCAATGACAGTTCAGTGACCTGCTCCAAGACGTCCGCCTGTTTCACCCGGACCCGCACATGTAAGGTCTCCATGTCCACATCTCCATATATTTAAAAAGTATTTTCTTTGGTAGTACCTGTGTGTGTGTAGTGGGCGTGTCTTTCTGGTTGATTAAAGAGGGGGGATTATGCAAAATCCACTTTTGAACTTTCTGTCATATTATAACATTCCTTCATCACAAACCTGTCTGAAGAGGTTTTAGAGTCACCCATTAATGTTTGAGTAATCTAGTGATCTCTCCTGGGCCCTATTCAAACCCTCCTTACAGTTAGCAGTACGAGCCTGTATGAGGCTCCGTCCCCAAGCCTACGTCCCCCAAGCTCCCACATGACAATTCTCCATAAATCCACAAAAACATGACACAAACTGTCCACAGCGACTGGACAAACCTGATGTGATGTGCAGGAGTTTCATTAGTGGGACGCACACTGAGTGTGTTGTGATAGTGCTCTGCTGATCCACATGGTGATCTCTATGTTCTGTGTTAACAATTAATACCCCATAGAAGTGTAATAGGCCCACTTTAAGTTCTGCATGCTCTGTCTTTCTGATTGGCTGCAGTATACCAGGCTCTCTCTGATTGGTCAGTGTTGCCTCTCTCTGATTGGTCGGGAAGTACGTTTAATGTATTTAATCCACAAATGATCAGGACAATTAAAATATAAATTAAAGGCCCGACAGAGGCCGACCCGCTGTGTGAAAACTAATGCCATAATGTGGTTGTTTTAGGTCCAAAACTTTGGCTAAATATAAAAAAAAGAAAGAAATACATTTAAATTTTTGTTTACATATTTATTTTTTATTTCATTATTTTAATTGTTCAGAAGCCCCCATATGACGAGCAACACACAGAGGCCAGTTTCATCGCCCAGACTGGGGCCCCACCCTGGAGCCGGACTTGGGATGGGTGCTCAACATCGAGCTTCTGGCTCCTGGCCCCGGCCAGGCCCCACAGGGGAAGGCCACAGGATCAATAGGGGGCTGGTGTAGGGAAGGCAGGGACTTCAGCGACCGGATCTCCAGACATGGAGACTGACTCTGGGGACATGGAATGTCACCTCACTGGGGGAAGGAGCCTGAGCTTGTGCAGGAGGTTGAGCGTTACTGACTAGATATAGTCGGCCTCACTTCCAGACAGAGTTTGGGCTCTGGAGCCCAACTCCAAATTAATTAATTAATTAATTAATTGAGCATTGCATTTACAAAGTGCCTTTCAATACACCCAGTGCTCTTCACAGTTCACTGTTCATTCACTCCACACTGACGGAAGCGAGGCTGCAAATCTGTGCCATCGGTCCCTCCAGCCACCATATCTCACACACGCACCACTGGTGAAGTGTCTTGCCTAAAGACAGACCAACAGTTTTTATGACTGGCACCTGATTTTCCCACTGGTCTCCCATCTAATTACTAACCAGTCCCGGCCCTGTCATCCACATCAAGAGGAGCAGCTGAAGTGGCTCAGGCATCTGTTCTGATGCCTCCTGGACGTCTCCCTCGGGAGGTGTTCATGTCCCACTGGGAGGAGGCACCGAGGAAGACCCAGGCTGACCTGGAAACACCTCAGGTCTCCCCGGTGGAGCTGGAGGAAATGTCTGGGGTGAAGGAAGTCTGGGGGTCCCTGCTTAGACTGATGCTCCTGCGACTCTACCTAGATAAGAGGAAGAAAAAGGAGGGATGGATAATTATTTTAAAGTCTATGGGACAAATGAACAGGAAATTCACTTCTGGGACGTGGGCAGTAACTAGTGGAGTGGAAAATCTGTTTCTCCCTTTGGTCAAAAATGTCTTGTTGTTTGGTCAGTGTTATGCACCTGCCACTGTCTGTGATTGGTCAGTATTCTCCTCTCTCTCCTCTGATTGGTTGTTCTGTGTTCTTGGATCTCAGATTACTACACTGATGGATCTAACTACACTTACATGGAAAAAGGCTGCATCAGTGAGAACCTGTGCCCTGCGGCCGAACCCGAGATCTTCTCCTACAAAACGGGCTACAACACAGAGACGTTCTTCTGCTGCAGATCTGACCACTGCAACGCACCAACTCAGCCCAGTCAGTCCAGTTTTTTTTTTTTTTTTTTAACTATAAAGCCACACTCTGTAACTTTAGGAGGAGCAGGTGAGTGCATACCAATATTACAAATGTGTAAAACAGGTAAAGTGCTCATGAATGATTATAGTATGAGATGGTAAAAAGAGACTTGCAAAACCATTTTAGAGCAGGAATTTACTAGTGCAAAACAGTCAAAAATACATCAGAGACACTCTGTACCTTATGATGATAAAAATCCTTTATTTGAACATGGACAGTCTACACGTTTCCACACACAGTCTCTCCATAGTACAGTATAAAACACATCTATCTTATCTCGTTTGGTTTTAACTTCACATTTCCACCTCCAGAAAGTAATTACAGTATAACGTGCTGTACTAAAGTATCACCATAATAAACGTCTCTAAATATTCTGACACACCTTTGGTGTCAAAGTCGTGGTCAGTTTCACACACACATGTAGCTGTATCTAAGAGTGGCATTTTACATATCGAGCATTAATATAGAGAACTTTAATTATGGAACAATCCAGACAAAGGATGAACATCTCCATGGAGACAAAGAGGTGGAGGACCCTCCACCAGAAAGGTCACGTAGTGCATCTTTAAATGTCTCTTTTAGCACATGTGCTCTTATTATCAGTCAGCATCACCTGAAGTGACTCTTATAAACTGTGTTGTTTTCCTCTCAGCGCCCCCTGCTGGTCCTCTGCAGTGCTATGGCTGTGATCTTCGACAGGAAACTGCAGATACGTGAACTGTGATGAAGGACAGAGCTGTGGTAACTTTACAAGTATGTATCCTGTTTGTGTGTAAATACTCCTGTCTTTATCAACTACTGCAGAGAAGTTTGAAATGGTTGCACCACATTATAAAAGAAATGAAACAATGATGAAACTAACTAAATATCAGATAAAGTAACTCATAAATTACATTAAAATATAATAAAAATCCTCAAAAATACACTCCAGCGCCTTTTAAATATTCACTTTTTATATAGTGACACACACACACACACACACATACACACACACACACATACACACACACACACACACTGGGGCCAGGTGGGTTAAGTGTCTTGCCCAAGGACACAACATCAGCATTAATCTGTGGGAGCTGGAATCACACCTCCAACCTGTGGGTCAGTGGATGTGACGCTCAACCAGCGATGTTTATGTTGAGAGCGGGATTCAAACCGCCAACCTTCAGGTCAGTGGGCAAACACTGTACCGACTGAGCTACTGTCGTCCCTTTTTCACCGTCAAAGTAAAAATGATCAATATTCAGCCTTATTTGTCCTGCAAATCACCAAATGCACCCAGAGCCTTTGTTACAGGCTCTTCTCCTCCACAGAGCTCAAAAGCACCAACACCGACTCACAGCTGAAGCGTCACAACAGCGCAGGGCAAACAGCTGTCCCCTTCACACAGCAGACTGTGTCCAAACAGCATTTACCAAACGCACTCATATCACAACATACAGACATGTGCACGCCACATGACAGCGTTTATACACGTGGAAAACCTGACGGAGAAGCACCAAACAGATATTAGATGAGCTACATAAGGAGCGTGAGCAGAGGGCTGTGTCCACTATCACCTCAAAACTCCACTAAACTCCAAACGCACGTGTCCCTCCCGCTGTAGACGTCTGTTTGTGCTCCCGTCACAAAGAGTCGCCAAAGAATAATGTACATCCATAAAATACACAAGAATCGTCATATTTCCTCACGTGTTGAAAACAGTGAGTGTGGAGCTCAACAGTGAGCGCCCACCCCGCGCTTCCACAACTAAACTTCATATTGACTTTTAGAAAAAAATGATTATTAAAAGTTTAAAAGCTCAGGAATAATCAGCTACATGTTAACTAATGACCACAAGACCAATCATTTAATAAAATGTGTTTCTGAAACTTGATAAACCTCTGAGTGAATAAAACATTTCACAGAATCTTAAATGTGCTTGTTGGACTTAGAACATGGACATTAGTTTGCACAGAGCTGGTTTTCCTCCAAGAGGCACTTGAACTTTTAATATTTAAATTTTTTAAACTTACACTTAAATGACTCGTTACTGTAAAAGTAACGCCTTTACTAATGTCGTATTAACAAGGGACATCGTGTTGGTGACTACAGTAATATTTGTATTTTACATTCTGAATAAACTCTGTGTCATGTCAAATCTTTGTGTTTTTGGCAGAGTATGGGTCTGAGGTGCGCGGCTGTGTGTCCAACAATCTGTGCAACACTCTAATGCCTCAGTTGAGGGAATCCTACTATGACCCAGTGACCTGCTGCAACACCACCAACTGTAACCACCCAGGTAAACTCTCACCTGCTCCACTCAGGTCGTTTTCACTTGAGTAAATGACCTCACTTAAATATGGCTTTAAATATCATATTTTAATAGATCTGTGTTTCCCGCACACCATCTTACTTGCAAATTCTGAATTTTATTAGTACATCAATGACAGTTTGGTACTCGTCCTTCATCAGGCAAATACGAGAAGAGCTCTAGGTGGTCATCTTAACCCTTCAAGACCGACGGTATTGTATACGATACCGGCAGACATGTTTTACATAACCGCGCATAACTTTTTAACCATAAAAGATAGAGACTTAATTTTTTTCCTTGTATAGATAAGACTCGTGGCTTTACGAGCATCTTTCCGGCATCATCCTATGTCACACGCACGCTGCGTGGTGACGTAGCGAAAACAGGTGTCCAATAGGAACTTCGCTATTCGGCGCATGACGCGCTCCATCCATTTTCATTGGCCCAAACTTTGCCAAAGATTGTTGTAAGTCAAGATAGTTACTCCTCTGAGCGACTGTGCTCATAGCATTTGATAAAGCAGCCCTAAGTACCATTATTTCTCAAGTAAATGGCAAATTACGCATCTCGGTGTGCGTAATTGCGCATCCCTTACTATTTTTATTTGAAAAGTTTTTTTTTACTTGCAAATGATATATAATACACCCAACAGGACGTAAACAGCCTAGTGCCGAGCAATGAATCGGGTGCGCGCGGGTGTGAGCAGGTGCGCGCAGATGCACGCTTGGCATAGACCCAGCGCACATTCGTGTGCCAAGGTGTTTGTTGTTTTGCGCACAGAGGATAAAGAGCTCCGGGAAGTCTACCAGAAGAAAGAAAGAAAGAACGAACCAACAGAAATGGCACGAACAGAAATGGCACGCAAAGCGTCACTTTCCTTGCTGGAAGCAGTGGCGATGGTAACGGAGCCTGGCAGTGACGCCGAGTCCGATGTGGACACTTTTTATACACATGAAGAGTTGGATTACCTGGAGGGTCTGGACCCTATTGAAGAGTAAGTAGCAAATATTTCATAGTTATTTAGAGCAAACATCATGCAACACTTGTAGTAAACGGGCGTAAATACATAATAGTAGCATGCGTAATGCCTATTTATGTATTGTTTGGATACAGTTTTATTTGATGCGTGAGGGGTATAATCATTTAGGTGGGGGATGAGATTGTGAACTTCAGACAACTGTTTACCTGTGTTGCACTAGACTTATGACATGTATGTTGTTGTTTGTAATAACGAGCTACAAACTACATGTGTAAAGTGGATGAAGTGGTTTGGGAGGTGTGGATGTCCTAATTAGTGAGGTCATAATCTGTTGACACCATTTGGGTGGGGGATGGGGTTGTGCATTGTGTTTGCCCCTGCTGCACTAGACTTAGACTTGTTGTAGTACATATGTAATACACAAGTTTTACACAAACTAACATTTTTTCCTTTTCTTTTGTTTAGTGCTGAGTCAGAGGATGTTCCTCAGGCTCCTCCAGATTCCCCTCTGCCATTCACTTCAGGTGTCTCCCCAGCTTCATCAGTGTCTACAACCACAGCCACCCGTCCAGAACCATCAACACCTTCAACACCTACGATCTCCTCTGAGAGCAGGAGGAGGGGCAGGGATGGAGGACATGGAAGATCCAGATCTCCACTCCTCAGTGCTTCATCTCCATCACCACACTTACTAACCACCACACCAGGAAGACCGCAGCAGGCAAGGATCATATGGGAGGCTGTCATGTGTGCACTGCTGACAAACACAGGGGAAGAGGCAGTGTACTGCATGGAAATGCAAGGCCTGTGATGTGGCACTATGCCTGGTGCCTGATAGGAACTGCTTCCATGATTGGCACTAGGGAAGGACTTGGACGAGTGCACTGTTTTTGTTTTGAGGGCAAAAATGACATTTTTAGAATACCTACAAACTTCATATTTTGCACTTTTGTAGCTAAGACCCTAAACTAAGTATTTATTATGTCTAAAAAGTTGTTTATACATGTTTGCTGTGTGTTTTGAATAAAGGAGTGTGAATATTATTTTCCGTTTTTTTTTTTTTTCCTTTGTATTTCTAGTTCTATAGCTTTTATTACAGCCATATGATACAACTACAGCATTCAGATGGTGAAAGAACAGGTTGTACTGAAAAAAAGAATGTATAGCACTTCATTAGGGGATAAAAGGGGGAGTTTTAATAGCAAAATTAGGAAAAAAATCCAGGCGAGGACAAATGTACCAAAAATGCCCTTAGGTCTGGAAGGGTTAAAGAGGGCGTGGTAAACACCCAAGGGTTCATTTTAACACTGAAATGGAACATCAAAAAGAAAATCCATAAAATCACATTATAGAAAATAAATGAATCAATTTGCATTTCACTGTGTGAAATAAGTATTTGATCCTCGATCAATCATTAAGAGTTGTGGCTCCCACAGTACAGTTAGACACTCCTAATCAACTCGTCACCTGAATTAGACTCCTGTTTTAACGAGTCACCTGTAGAAAAGACACCTGTCCACAGAATCAGTCAATCAGACTCCAAACTGTCCAACATGGGAAAGACCAAAGAGCTGCCAAAGGATGTCAGGAACAAGACTGTGGACCTGCACGAGGCTGGAACGGGCTATAAAACCATCAGCAAGAAGCTGGTGTTAAGGACAACTTTTGGTGCAATCCATCAAAAATTTAAGAGATCTTCTTTGAGATCCAGACAAGATCTCACCTCGTGGGGTTTCAGTGATCATGAGAACAGTGAGAAATCAGCTAGAACTACACGGGAGGAGCTAGTCAATGATCTCAAGGAGCTGGGACACAGTCACTAAGGAAAACATCAGGACACTTTACACCACAATGGAGTAAAATCCTGCAGTGCTCCAAGGTCCCCCAGCTTAAGAAGACACATGTGCAGCCTGCCTGAAGTTTGCCAGTGAACACCTGAAGGATTTAGAGAGGGACTGGGTGAAGGTGCTGTGGTCAGATGAGACCAAAATCGATCTCTTTGACTTTAACTCAACTCGCCGTGTTTGGAGGAACAGAAATGCTCCTGTGACCCAAGAACACCATCCTCACCGTCGAGTATGGAGCTGGAAACATTCTGCTTTGGGGATGTTTTTCTGCCAGAGGCAGAGGACGACTTCATCGCGTCAACGGGAGGATGGATGGAGCCATGTACCAATAAAATCCTGAGTGAGGACTACCTTCCCTCAGTCAGGAAACTGATAATGGGTGGTGGATGCAAACTCCAACACGACAATGACCCAAAACAAAACAAACAGCCAAGGCAATGAAGGAGCGGCTCAAGAAGAAGCACATGCAGGTCATGGAGAGGCCCAGTCATTCGACCCTCACCCTGTAGAAAACCTATGGAGGGATCTGAAGCTCAAAGTTGCCAAGAGACAGCCACGAAACCTTCATGATTTAGAGATGATCTGCAAAGAAGAGTGGACCATAATTCCTTCTGATATGTGACAAACCTGGTCATCCACTACAAGAAATTATTAATATAATAAGAAGAAGAAGTAGAAGAAGAAGAAGAAGAATGAAATTCTGAATATGTAAGAATTTGTCATTCCACTGAGGATTTTATCCAACAAGCCACAGACATGAAAATGGGATTTCAGCAGAGAGGGAATCCTGTGTCTTGGGTTGATGATGCTCATGAGCTCATAAGTCCTGGGCAGGTTTGAAAAGAAGCAAAAAAAACAAACAAAAAACAAAAAAACACTTTTCTGTAATCTGCATCACCCAATATTCCACCCACACACCTGTGATCTGCATTTTTCATATCAGCACATTTTAAAATCAGACCCAGAAATCTCATCCATCTTTAAAGATCCTTCACTTTTTCAGAGGTTATTTGGTATGTGCCATAAATGCCACCATAAACATGATGTGCGGGATTCTTCTCTGTTCATGTTTTTGGGCTGTTTCCTCTCCTCCAACGCACTTGTTTCAAGAAATTGATGTGTGAAATTCTTGTTTGTTTGTTTTTTATAATAGATCAATGTTTGAAATAATACTTGATACTGAACATGGCGGATGATAAAAACTGGACGACATGGAGCTGCACAAAAATACATTCCTAACATGAGCAACTCTCTCTGAAACATTCACACTGTGTTCAAAACCTTTACACAATCACATGAAGTGTGTTTGGAGTTAATAAAAGAACTTTATTAACCACACCTGTGGGTAGATGAAGAGGAGATATTGTAGCTGCTTTAGTTTTGATGTTCGAGGTCCTTAAGATGACACATTCTATACAACACTGTAGGACTCGCTCCCCTCTGGGAAAGATGCACGTAAACTATAGATCCATACATCAGCTGAACTTCACTCCAGGTTTTGAGTTTCACTGATAATGTTTGTGATGCTGTTGAGCTTTAGAAATGTAGAAGTTTGGTGAGTTTGTGAATGGAGGCAGATGTCCTGGGGTAATCCTGGTCTTTTCTCTTACAGCTGCTGGACTGGAGTGTATGACCTGTACCGACTCGAGTTGTTCCTCACAGTCTCCAGTGACGTGTTACTCCTCACAGACTCTGTGTTACACAAGTGCTGTCAACGGTAACTATCAACACAACTATCTGCAAAACTACAGCAGGATAAAAGACCTGGTCACAATATCATGAACTGAACGGTCAGTTTAGGAACAGTCTGGGGGATGGAGTTCTCAGGGTCGTGTTCACGAGTGAGGGGAGGATGGAGGATGGGCGGTGATGTGGTGTGTGTGTCAGATGCCCTCCCAGCATCTGCACTGATGCGGTCGCTGTATTGGACTGTTGTGGTGAAGAAAGAGCTCAGTCCAAAGGCAAAGCTCTCAATTTACTGCTCAAGCCACGCTCCACCTCAACTACAGTCCTGGTTTAGTCCTGGTTTAGTCCTGGTTTAGTCCTGGTTCAGATCTCTGGTCCTATGGGTATTGATTGAAAGGAGAAGATGGTGGACACAGGTGGTCAAATGACTTTGTCGGAGGAGCTTGGAGTAGAGCTGCTGCTCCACGTGGAGAGGAGCAGCTGAGGCTTGGGCATGTGGGCGACAGTAGCTCAGCTCAGAGTGTTTGTCCACTGATTTAAAGGTTGGTGGTTTGAATCCCGCTCTCGACATAAACATCGCTGGTTGAGCGTCACATCCACTGACCCACAGGTTGGAGGTGTGATTCCAGCTCTCGCAGATGAATGCAGTTGTTGTGTCCTTGGGCAAGACACTTAACCCACCTGGCCCCAGTGTGTGTGTGTGTGTGTGTGTGTGAATGTATTTTTGTTGTTGTTGTTGTTTTTTATGGTGTAGTCAGACAGACAGTTGACAGAAACTCTCTATGTTGTTCTAATGTTAAAATCATCAAATCTCACAGTGAGTTACAAAAAATTAACAATGGGCAAGAGACACTTTTTACTTCTGGTAACATTTGAAACTGTCGTGTACAAATGCTGAATCTGATCATTTCTATTTGTGACTAGAGCCAAGAACTCACTGTATTACATAACGTCATGTCATGTATTGACATCACAAGGTGGAACAGAGTGTTTTCCATTTAAGAGAAGAACTCAGTCTAAATATACAGGGTTTGTGTGTTAAACATGTGTGAATGAAACAAAACACAACTGTGTTTTTGATGAGGAAACAACATTATAACAGAGCTCAGACAAAGACATAATATGGGCTCTTTAAATTGGCCCATAGAATGTAGTGATGTCATGTGAAACCAGCAGTAGGTTTATCCTGTTACTGTTGTGTTCCAGACTCTGGGACGATCACGATCACTAAAGGCTGTACGTATTCATGGGACTGGAAATGTTCTGATGGAGGCGTCTTCTACTCGTACAACCTCGGCTCCTCGTTCCTCCAGAACACCACATGCTGTGACTCACACCAGTGTAACTCCGCCCAGCTCCCCAGTGAGTGACACTGCCCAAACTCTCCACCCTCCCACATCATGCATTAACCTGTGTTGTGTTTCAGTCCCTGCGCCCCCTGCTGGCTCTCTGCAGTGCTACGGGTGGGACCCTGATACTGAAGTGTCTACTGCAAATGTGACCTGCAACGTCCAGGAAGTGTGTGGAGGATTTGGTCAGTGTGTTCAATAACCTGTGGAAACTGGATCAATTATTATTATTAGACAAATAAGTAATTTATTGATCACAGAGGAGGGGAAACTCAGTGTCCAGTAGCAAACTGTGAATGTCCTACACAACAAGCACAAAGCTGCACATGAATGTCACACTACATGAATCATTCAAAGTTACTAACAATAATATTGAGGTGCACATTAGCCAGATCTTATGTCCTCAGTATTAATATGAGCACATTTAACATTATAAAAATATGTCTATGCACATTTTAAACAAAATGTGAAGCAAACGGCCTAAAACAAAATAATAATTTATTCATTTCTGTCTAGGACATGTTAGGGAGGGCAGCGCCCCCTATTGACCAGCCGCCACTGTCTTAGTGTAAACAGACCTAAATCTGGTGCCACTGGGTCGCTCCACAGAGCAGGAGTCACAGTGTTTCTAGAAAAGTTACTCAAGTAAATGTAACTGAGTTCTACCCACCTCTGATTGTATCCACCAGATTAAGAGCTCTTGAGTTGATTGTGCATAATATGTGTTTTGGTTTAGTTACATTTGCCACTGTAGTCCTGTGCTCTGTTCACTCTGCATGTCTTTGTCTTTGTCTTTGTCTTTGTTGTTGGTGTTAGTTACGTCAAACGCGCGGCCGCTCTACGGCTGTGTCTCTGAGAACATCTGCAACAGCAGTCTGACCACAGCGGTGTCCATGGGCCAGTCATATGTGTCCCTGAGTCAGTCAACTGTGTGCTGCAACACGTCCCACTGCACACCCCCACAGACATGTCACACTGTCACACATGTCCCACACACATGTCCACACACACATGTCCCACACACACATGTCCCACACACACATGTCCACACACACACACACACATGTCCACACACACACATGTCCACACACACACATGTCACACACACACACATGTACACACACACACACACACACACACACATGTCCCACACACACATGTCCACACACACACATGTCACACACACACACACACATGTCCACACACACACATGTCCACACACACACACATGTCCACACACACACACACACACACATGTCACACACACACACACACATGTCCACACACACACATGTCCCACACACACACACACACACATGCACACACATGTCACACACACACACACACACATGTCCCACACACACATGTCACACCACACACACATGTCCCACACACACATGTCCACACACACATGTCCACACACACATGTCACACACACACACACACACACATGTCACACACACACACATGTCCACACACACATGACACATGTCCCACACACACATGACACACACATGTCACCACACACACACACATGTCACACATGTCCACACACACACACACACATGTCCCACACACACATGTCACACACACACACACACATGTCCACACACACATGTCCCACACACACATGTCACACACACACACATGTCACACACACACACACACATGTCACACACACACACACACATGTCCACACACACACATGTCACACACACACACATGTCACACACACACATGTCCCACACACACACACATGCACACATGTCACACACACACACACACACACACATGTCACACACATGACACACACACACATGTCACACACACACACATGTCACACACACATGCACATGTACACACACACATGTCACACACATGACACACACATGTCCACACACACACACATGTCATGTCACACACACACACACACACACATGTCCCACACACATGTCACACACACACACACACACATGTCCACACACACATGTCACACACACATGTACACACACACACACATGTCCCACACACACATGTCCACACACACACACATGTCCACACACACACATGTGACCACAACACACACATTGTCCCACACACACACACATGTCCCACACAGACACATGTCCCACACACACACACATGTCCCACACACACACATGTCCCATAAACACATGTCCCACACAGACATGTCCCACACACACATGTCCCACACACACATGTCCCACACACACACACATGTCCCACACAGACATGTCCCACACACACACATGTGTTTGTGGTGCCGACACGTTGGCTGGTTCCCTGTTTGGCGCAGCAGGGATGCTTCTGCCAGAGCGTGGAGCGTTTTCCGTCAGCACTCTCACTCCACCTCTGCTCAGGTGTGGGCCATTTCACTCCAACAGGTCCTCTTGTTTCCAGAAAAGACCAAAGTTCTCAGTGTAATACAATCCTCTGGGCGCACACGTGTCCAGGAGCCACGTGTTCAGCTGAAGCTGTTCCTCTTCCTTAGGTTTATGTGAGGAACAGGTCCACTGATAAATGTCTTAACTTCCACTTTATTAAGCTCATTGAATAATTTAGTGAAATCCCTTTTCAAGACTTCACTCTGTTCCATTCCATTTGTTTTTGTCAGGAGTTTTGTAATCTCAGAAACAGTGTACGTGGGGCAGCAGCATGTTCAGATTCCTCTGTGGCTCACACTGATCGGCCCGTCTCCGAGCAGCAGCAGTGTATCTCTGACCGTGACGTTTGGCACAGATTACCCGTCTGCCTGCGCTCCTTTGCTGACTTTAATGTTGTTGTTTTGTGATGACAATTCATTTTCTGTTTTTGTACGTTAACATCAGTCTGTAACAGTGGTAATATCTGTTTACAGCTTTATTGTGGGTGATATAACGATATTAGCATTATCTTTTACCACTCGCTGCTTTGGCTTTGTCTTTTCTAAAACTTGGTACACACCAAAATGCTCAGTATTACTCAGGTTTAAGTTGAAAGTAACTGTAGGCTGCTCACCTCTGGAAGTCACTGGGGGCGTCTGAAGCCCTCGTTCAGTTTCTAAAGCAAATATCTTCTTGTAGCTCATTAATTTCTTGTTGATAGTTCCGACAGCGCTCACAGAGAGAGTTCCCTGGTTTCTTCCCCCCAACATGTCGCTGGATCAACAGATGATTTGTTAAAAAATGTAAAAATGGTTTAAAAGTCTTGGTTTACTTGAAAGAAAATCCAAAATGGACACGTCCAGTGTTGGAGGAAGGAAACTGATTAAAAAGTAAAGTAAAGAAGCAAACAGCAGGAGCAAGCAAAGATAGTTTCTACACTCTTCAGAAGCAGGAAGTGAAGCAAAACATGTCCAAGACATTTGCCCACTCTTTGAAATATGACCAATGTCCCAAGTCTGTCTCTATTGTCCTAAATGTGTCCAGTCTCCCAGGTCTGTCCCCACAGTGTTTCAGCATGTGGACCTTGTCTCAAACTGGTCTTGTCCAGACTGAATGGAGTCTTTCTGTCACAGAGCTGGGGCCTGCAGTGCAACACCTGTTCAGGTTCCACCTGCTCCAATGACAGTTCAGTGACCTGCTCCAAGACGTCCGCCTGTTTCACCCGCACCTACACATGTAAGGTCTCCATGTCCAAATCTCCATATATTTAAAAAGTATTTTCTTTGGTAGTACCTGTGTGTGTGTAGTGGGCGTGTCTTTCTGGTTGATTAAAGAGGCAAAATCCACTTTTGAACTTTCTGTCATATTATAACATTCCTTCATCACAAACCTGTCTGAAGAGGTTTTAGAGTCACTCATTCATGTTTGAGTAATCTAGTGATCTCTCCTGGACCCTATTCAAACCCTGCTTACAGTTAGCAGTACGAGCCTGTACAAGGCTCCGCCCCCAAGCCTACGTCCCCCAAGCTCCCACATGACAATTCTCCATAAATCCACAAAAACATGACACAAACTGTCCACAGCGACTGGACAAACCTGATGTGATGTGCAGGAGTTTCATTAGTGGGACGCACACTGAGTGTGTTGTGATAGTGCTCTGCTGATCCACATGGTGATCTCTATGTTCTGTGTTAACAATTAATACCCCATAGAAGTGTAATAGGCCCACTTTAAGTTCTGCATGCTCTGTCTTTCTGATTGGCCTGCAGTATACCAGGCTCTCTGATTGGTCAGTGTTGCCTCTCTCTGATTGGTCGGGAAGTACGTTTAATGTATTTAATCCACAAATGATCAGGACAATTAAAATATGAATTAAAGACTTGACAGAGGCCGACCCGCTGTGTGAAAACTAATGTCATAATGTGGTTGTTTTAGGTCCAAAGATTTGGCTAAATGTTTAAAATGTTAAAGTCTATGGGACAAATGAACAGGAAATTTCCTTCTGGGACGTGGGCAGTAACTAGTGGAGTGGAAAATCAGTTTCTCCCTTTGGTTCAAAAATGTCTTGTTGTTTGGTCAGTGTTATGCACCTGCCACTGTCTGTGATTGGTCAGTATTCTCCTCTCTCTCCTCTGATTGGTTGTTCTGTGTTCTTGGATCTCAGATCACCACACTGATGGATCTAACTACACTTATGTGGAAAAAGGCTGCATCAGTGAGAACCTGTGCCCTGCGGCCGAACCCGAGGTCTTCTCCTACAAAACAGCTTCTTTCGCAAACATGTTCTTCTGCTGCAGATCTGACCACTGCAACGCACCAGCTCAGCCTGGTCAGTCTCTACTATGAACTACACATTTGAATCATTAGTTCTATTAAAACAAGAAGAAATCCTGCACATTGATGATTCTTACAAAAGATTTAGAGAGAACTATTTTAACTATAAAGCCACACTCTGTAACTTTAGGAGGAGCAGGTGAGTGCATACCAATATTACAAATGTGTAAAACAGGTAAAGTGATCATGAATGACTATAGTATGAGATGGTAAAAAGAGACTTGCAAAACCATTTTAGAGCAGGAATTATACTAGTGCAAAACAGTCAAAAATACATCAGAGACACTCTGTACCTTATGATGATAAAAATCCTTTATTTGAACATGGACAGTCTCTCACAGTATAAAACACATCTATCTTATCTCGTTTGGTTTTAACTTCACATTTCCACCTCCAGAAAGTAATTACAGTATAACGTGCTGTACTAAAGTATCACCATAATAAACGTCTCTAAATATTCTGACACACCTTTGGTGTCAAAGTCGTGGTCAGTTTCACACACACATGTAGCTGTATCTAAGAGTGGCATTTTACATATCGAGCATTAATATAGAGAACTTTAATTATGGAACAATCCAGACAAAGGATGAACATCTCCATGGAGACAAAGAGGTGGAGGACCCTCCACCAGAAAGGTCACGTAGTGCATCTTTAAATGTCTCTTTTAGCACATGTGCTCTTATTATCAGTCAGCATCACCTGAAGTGACTCTTATAAACTGTGTTGTCTTTCCTCTCAGCGCCCCCTGCTGGTCCTCTGCAGTGCTATGGCTGTGACTATTACACAGTAAACTGCAGATACGTGAACTGTGATGAAGGACAGAGCTGTGCTAACTTTACAAGTATGTATCCTGTTTGTGTGTAAATACTCCTGTCTTTATCAACTACTGCAGAGAAGTTTGAAATGGTTGCACCACATTATAAAAGACATGAAACAATGATCTCCTCCTTGAACCATCACCTTATCGTGGTGGAGGGGTTTGAGTGCCCGAATGATCCTGGGAGCTGTTTTATCGGGGGCTCCATGCCCCTGGTAGGGTCACCCAAGGCAAACAGGTCCGGGGGGACGGGTCAGACGAAGAACGGTTCAGAAGCCCCATATGATGAGTGAACCAGCAAGGCCAGTTACGTCGCCCAGATCGGCGTCACCGGGGCCTCACCCTGGAGTCAGGCCTGGGGTGGGTGCTCGCCAGCGAGCGCCTGGTGGCCGAGCCTCCCCCCACGGGGCCCGGCCGGGCTCAGCCCAAAGGAGCGACGTGGGGCCGTCCTCACGTGGGCCCACCACCTGCGGGAGGATCCATATGGGGCCGGTGCATAGGGATTCGGGCAGCAGTCGACGGCGGGGGCCTCGGTGACCAGATCTCCGGACATGGAGACTGTGGCTCTGGGGACATGGAATGTCACCTCGCTGGGGGGGAAGGAGCCTGAGCTTGTGCGGGAGGTTGAGCGTTACCGACTAGATATAGTCGGCCTCACTTCCACACACAGTTTGGGCTCTGGAACCCAACTCCTAGAGAGGGGCTGGACTCTTCATTTCTCTGGCGTTGGCCGCGGGGAGCGGCGGTGGGCTGGTGTGGGCTCATTGCCCCACAGCTCAGCCGCTGTGTGTTGGAGTTCACCCCGGTGAACGAGAGGGTCGCGTCCCTACGCCTTCGGGTCGGGAACAGGTCTCTCACTGTGGTGTCGGCCTATGGGCCGAACAGCAGTGCTGAGTACCCGGCCTTCTTGGAGTCCTTGGGAGGGGTACTAGACAGTGCACCGACCGGGGACTCCGTTGTTCTCCTGGGGGACTTCAACGCCCACGTGGGCAACGACAGTGACACTTGGAGAGGGGTGATTGGGAGGAACGGCCTCCCTGATCTGAACCCGAGCGGTGTTTTGTTATTGGACTTCTGTGCTAGTCACAGTTTGTCCATAACGAACACCATGTTCAAGCACAAGGGTGTCCAAGTGTACGTGGCACCAGGACACCCTCGGCCGGAGGTCGATGATCGACTTTGTAGTCATGTCATCTGATCTCCGGCCGCGTGTCTTGGACACTCGGGTGAAGAGAGGGGCTGAGCTGTCAACTGACCACCTGGTTGTGAGTTGGGTTCGCTGGCGGAGGAGGAAGCCGGAAAGACCTGGCAGACCCAAGCGTGTAGTGAGGGTCTGTTGGGAACATCTGGCGGAGCCCTCTGTCTGAGGGACTTTCAACTCGCACCTCCGGGAGGACTTTTCCCGGATTCCGGGGGAGGCTGGAGATATGGAGTCCGAGTGGGCTTCATTCTCAGCCTCTATTGTCAATGCGGCTGCTCGGAGCTGTGGGCGTGAGGTCTGTGGTGCCTGTCGCGGCGGCAATCCCAGAACCCGGTGGTGGACACCGGAAGTAAGGGATGCTGTCAAGCTGAAGAAGGAGTCCTATCGGGCCTTGCTGGCTCGGGGGACTCCTGAGGCAGCTGACGGGTACCGGCGGGCAAAAACTCGGAGCTGGGAGGAGTTCGGGGAGGCCATGGAGAAGGACTATCGGACGGCCTCAAAGAGATTCTGGCAAACCGTCCGGCGCCTCAGGAGGGGGAAGCAGTTCTTCACCAACACTGTTTACAGTGCGGGGGGAGAGCTGTTGACCTCGACTGGGGACGTTGTCCGGCGGTGGAAGGAATACTTTGAGGATCTCCTCAATCCCACCGTCACGTCCTCCGAGGAGGAGGCCGAGGCTGGGGACTCGAAGGCGAACTCATCCATCACCCTGGCCGAAGTCACTGAGGTGGTTAAAGCTCCTTGGTGGCAAGGCTCCGGGGTTGGATGAGATCCGTCCTGAGTACCTTAAGTCTCTGGATGTTGTGGGTCTTGGCTGACATGCCTCTTCAACATCGCGTGGCGGTCGGGGACAGTACCTCTGGACTGGCAAACCGGGGTGGTGGTCCCTCTGTATAAGAAGGGGGACCGGAGGGTGTGTTCCAACTATAGGGGGATCACACTTCTCAGCCTTCCCGGTAAGGTCTATGCCAGGGTACTGGAGAGGACAATCCGATAGTCGAACCTCGGATTCAGGAAGAGCAGTGTGGTTTTCGTCCTGGCCGCGGAACACTGGACCAGCTCTACACTCTCCATAGGGTGCTCGAGGGTTCATGGGAGTTTGCCCAACCAGTCCACATGTGTTTTGTGGATCTGGAAAAGGCATTCCACCGTGTCCCTCGTGGTGTCCTGTGGGGGGTGCTCTGGGAGTATGGGGTTCGGGGCCCTTTGCTAAGGTCTGTCCGGTCCCTGTATGACCGGAGCAGGAGCTGTGTTCATTGCCGGCAGTAAGTCAGACCTGTTCCCGGTGCATGTTGGACTTCGTCAGGGCCGCCCCTGTCACCGGTTCTATTCATTGTGTTTATGGACAGAATTTCTAGGCGCAGTCAGGGGCTGGAGGGGGTCCGGTTTGGGGACCACAGGATTTCATCTCTGCTGTTTGCGGATGATGTTGTCCTGTTGGCTTCATCGAACCAGGACCTGCAATGTGCACTGGGGCGGTTTGCAGCCGAGTGTGAAGCGGCTGGGATGGAGATCAGCTCTTCTAAGTCTGAGGCCATGGTTCTCGACTGGATAAAGGCGTCTTACCCTCTCCGGGTGGGTGGGGAGTCTTTGCCTCAAGTGGAGGAGTTCAAATATCTCGGGGTCTTGTTCACGAGTGAGTGGAGGAAGGAACGTGAGATTGACAGGTGGATCGGTGCAGCTTCGGCAGTGATGCGGTCGCTGTATCGGACCGTTGTGGTGAAGAGGAGCTGAGTCGAAAGGCGAAGCTCTCGATTTACCGGTCAGTCTTCGTTCCTCCTCTCACCTCTGGTCATGAGCTCTGGGTAGTGACCGAAAGGACGAGATTGCGGATACAAGCGCTCGAAATGAGTTTCCTCCGCAGGGTGGCTGGGCGCTCCCTTAGAGATAGGGTGAGGAGCTCAGTCACACGGGAGGAGCTCGGAGTAGAGCCGCTGCTCCTCCACGTCCAGAGGAGCCAGTTGAGGCTCGGGCATCTGTTCCGGATGCCTCCTGGGTGCCTCCCTCGGGAGGTGTTCCGGGCATGTCCCACCGGAAGGAGGCCCCGGGGAAGACCCAGGACACGCTGGAGGGACTATGTCTCTCGGCTGGCCTGGGAACACCTCGGGGTCCCCCCAGAGGAGCTGGAGGAAGTGTCTGGGGTGAGGAAGTCTGGGAGTCCCTGCTTAGGCTGCTGCCCCCGCGACCCGGCCCCGGATAAGCGGACGAAAATGGATGGATGGATGAAACAATGATGAAACTAAATATCAGATAAAGTAATTAATAAATTACATTAAAATATAATAAAAGTCCTCAAAAATACACTCCAGCTCCTTTTAAATATTCACTTTTTTATACAGTCACACTTTTCCACCTTCAAGTCTCAAAGACTTTTACATCAAGGAAACACACACACACACAACACACACACACACACACACATGCACAAAACACACACAACACAACACACACACACACACACACACTCCACATGTAAACAAACAGCGCCGTGTGATGACATCATCGGCCGTGGCTCGGTTCGGTTGTGCAGGTGTGAGTGCCGAGCATAGAACAGTACACAGTCGAGCTTGAGCACGGCACTGTTCTAGTGGACCTTTATATTTCCACACCACCAACATTTTAAAGAAGGCACCAGCGACTTTGTGTCACACGCCACTATTCGGCCAGACTTTTAACTCACTCCACCGAAAGCTGAATGTCCCTTTTTTGTAATATTCGGCCGAATATATCTGGTTGCCGAATATTCGGTGCATCTCCATGTGAAATCTTTGTGTTTTTTGCAGACGGTGGGTCTGACATACGCGGCTGTGTGTCCAACAATATGTGCAACGCTCTGATGCCTCAGCTGAGCATCTTCTACACCACTGACCCTGTGTCCTGCTGCAACACCACCAACTGTAACCCCCCAGGTAAACTCTCACCTGCTCCACTCAGGTCCTTTTCACTTGAGTAAATTACCTCTCTTAGATATGGTTTTAAATATGTTATTTTAACAGATCCATGTTTGAAATTCGTTATTATCCTGAACTACTTGATACTGAACATGGATTAGTACAAAAATACATTCCTAACGTTACCAACTCTCTCTGAAACATTCACACTTTGTTCAAAACCTTTACACAATCACACGACATGAGTTTGGAGTTAATAAAAGAACTTTTTTAATCCTCCCTGTGGGTGGATGAAGAGGAGAAATGTAACTCTGGCCCATTATAAAGTCTCTGCTCTGCCTCTGGCCACAGTTTGTGTCATTCTGAAAGCTGCACATGTGCTGTGTCTCTCTAGTCCCACAGTCGCACTAACTGCACCAAGTTTTTTTTTGTTCTTTTTCATGTTTTGCAGCTCGTGCAGCCTTAATTACAACAACAACTACTACTACTACTACTACTACTACTACTACTACTCTTCCTGCCATTCCATCTTCTACTGCAGACCCTCCTAACACCAAAACAGGTAAGTTCAAAATATGTTTACAACTTTAAAGAGTCGCACACGTAACAAACACAGAAACAATGAATGGAGCTCAACGGTGACCCCTGACCCCTGGGTCCAGAACTACATTTCCCATAGGGCACATCCCATTTCTCTTTCCTCGCTTCCTTCTCCTTGATTCTGCAGGAAATGGGTGAAGAAGTCTCACCCACAGAAGAAACACAGAGGAGGAGAGAAAAGAAAAAGAGGAGGAGAGAAAAGAAAAAGAGGAGGAGAGAAAAGAAAAAGAGGAGGAGAGAAAAGAGGAGGAGAGGAGACACGAGCTGAGGTCTTTCCTACACTTAAGGATCAGTGGAGACTGGTGCGATCATTTTTTGGGGGCGTCTGTGCCAAAATGATAAATATATACTTTATTTTTAACACTATAACTCTATTTCCTTTTGAGGCTCCGTCCTCAGATTTGCCCCAAACTAAAACAAGCCTCTTCCCTTCTCCAGAGACTGAAGCAGAGTGTTTCCTCTCTCCACTGTGCAGCGCTTAAGGTGCTTTCTGTTGCCTTTTTATAGGATGTGGTTATGATAAAGGGAGGAATGGGCCAGATTCAGAAAGATTCTAGATGTGAAAGAGTCTGAGGGAGTAACAACAGAGGACACTGACAACACTTTGGGTTAAAGTGAAGAATGATTTGTATTTAGTGGATTCAAGAATAATTTTACAATAATAAAAAAACAGAGCGCTCATTTTCCCCAAAACAAAATAAAATAAAAGTGTACCCGGGTGTAGTGGTCCTTAAAGTTAAAGAAACTGTCCATTTCTGTCTGTTCAATGTTCACTCAGTGTTCAGTGGGTCTGTGGCCAGTCGGACCACAAGCTTCCAGATTGTTTGAGTCTTTTCTCCTCTGCACATCTGCAGTTCTCAACTCCGATCCAAACAAGAAACCTAAAGACAAGGCCAGAATAAAGGAGCTTCAAATAATGCACTATATTACTATAGTACTCTTGCTACTGTTTACATTCTTCTCAAAACAATAATTAACATGTTGTACAACAACAGAGTTCAAAATATTCACAATTACAAAATGACAAAATGACAAAGGATGTACCAGAGATCCACCGTGGACCTGCAGAACAGATCCACAACAGCGGCTGATCTGCTGCGTTTCTCGCAGATCCGACCAGGACCCGTTTTGGATCCGTGTTCAGAACTGGGTTATCTGCCCCGGATCTGCTGCAGATCTGTTTATTATGTCGTTAGGAGCCTAAATATGCCTCAGGTTTAAGTGTAAAGAACGACGTCCAACCAGAACCGAACCCGTTACACACGACCAATGATCACAGAGCAGAGTTACAACTCTGTGATCGTAAAAATAAATATGAATATAAGTAGCGTTATATAAAAATAGTATTTAGACTGCGGTCTACCTCAGGAGGTGGAGTTGTCCAGACTCCTGACCTCACATCGTCTTCATCACATTAGCTGCTCCTGTCGCTAACTTTATTACTACTGCACTCGTCAAAAGTGATAAAACACAGAGAGTCACAGACGAACAGACACCACAATCTAACGTTAACCTTATGTACATGAATGATGACTAATAAAATGAACTTTTAAACAGTTACTTACAGTTAAATGTGCGGACAACAGGTGGGTGCTGCTTCTTTCCACTCAGGTCCCGCTAACGGCCCATAAGTCAATGTCGCGTCTGCACGGTGAATCTGAACCGGTTTAGCCGTGGATCCGCTCACCGATAGTACAAATGTAACAAGTGTTGTGTTAAAAGTGCGTTCACAGTGCTAAGATGATTTAGCCGCAGATCCTCTCTGTGACAGAAGCTGCCCAAAGGACGAGGTCAGTGACACTCATCAAGTGAATCCAGAACAAATACACAGAGGATCCACAAAGTGAAGTGACTGTGGGGCGGGTTTGGTGGACAGAAAACAGATCCACTGTGGATCTGGATGTTCTCACGGTTCACTTGGTAATGAACTAAATGTTACTTGTTCCATTTTTAAGAGTGAAAACATAAATAACATAAAATAACTTCAAAGTGCATTACAAATACACTGTGTGTTTAGTTCTAATCATCTGCACCAAAATAATAACAAGTGTAATCATAAAGTGCACCTGACTTTCACAAGTCTGACGCACGTTAGCCGCACAGGCTAACAAGAACATGTGCTACTACAAAACAAGCACAAATATAACACTTTTCAACAACCAAATAAAAACAGTGTGCACAGCACCTTTAAGTTAAACTAGAGATTCAGTAGAACAAATCAGAGCTGATCGTTTTCACCTCTAAAAAGGGCATTTTCAGTGCAAGTGGGCTAGCGGAGGTTAGCATACGAGCTAGCGCCGTTTAGCATGCTAAGCTAGCACAATACATTGTGTGTGAAACTGACCAACGCAGAGCGACACGTGTGAACAAAGGCTGCGGGGTTTCCCAGGCTCCCGTGGGCTCTCAGCAAACAGCACTTCAGCATCTGAAAAGTTGAACAAACGTTTTGTCACCAACATGAACTGTAATGACATCGTATGTCGTTCTTAGCGTCGGTTTGTGCTCACCGATCCCAGAAAATCAAAAGCAGAATGATTCACGTCACCACGTTAGCTCCACAAGAAGACGAGCGAGGGGCAGTTCTGTGCTCAGTGTCTGATGAGACTGAGCAGCGCGAGACGAACTAAACACCTGCACCTTATTCATGCAACATCTCACCAAACTGTTACTGGTCGCTCACTGTGTCGCTCAACACATATTTGGAACTTCTTTTTACAACTGTTTCATACTTTTTAATGCTTTTTAATCATATTTAATGAACTTATTTATGTACTTATATTTAAATGATATTGATCAATATTTATTCCCATTGCGATTTTACCCAAGTGCTTATGAATATTTATTTGTTTTTAATCATGTTTTTAACACTGGGTAACAACTGTCCTGTTGTAAAACTCGTCTTAATCCCACTTCCCACTTAAATCTGACCAGTCCATATTAGGACTAGGGCACCAGGTGGACTTAAACCCTCTGCAGGTGAAACTTTTACACCCAGAAACGAGCGAGCAGAGGTGGATAGAGCAGCGAGCGAGTGCCCCGGCCCCTGTACTTCATTATCTCCCAACACTGGACTGCAGCTGCCTCACACTTATTCTTCATTTCATTTTTTTGAACAGATTCTGGCTCAGTTATTTTCATGGAGATGTCGGTGGATTCACTTGGTGATCTCAGCAACGCGACGCTGTCTGAAGCCGTCCTCCAGGTGACACGCAAATGACCTGTCCCCCCCCCCCCTATATATATATATATATATATATATATATATATATATATATATATATATATATATATATATATATATATATATATATATATATAAACACAAACAAATGGATCCGTGTTGTTTTTTCTCTGTTGCAGTTTCTTCGAGAGCAGCTCAACACCACAGGTTTCGTGGTTTCAGTGAAGAAGATCTCTCAGCCTGAAACTGAAACCCCCAACACCACCTCTGCTCCAGGACCAACCCAAGCTCCACCCACCCCATGAACAACTAACCCGGATGCCCTACCGCTCCACCCACCCCATGAACAACTAACCCGGATGCCCTACCGCTCCACCCACCCCATGAACAACTAACCCGGATGCCCTACCGCTCCACCCACCCCATGAACAACTAACCCGGATGCCCTACCGCTCCACCCACCCCATAAATCCACAAAAACATGACACAAAACTGTCCACAGCGACTGGACAAACCTATAGTTAGATAGATAGAGCTCTGAAGGGGGAGTGACTTAGCCTAGTGATGTAGAACATGTTAATACGTTTTGGGTGAATTTAACATTTAGAAAACAATAAAAGGAACACGGTGATCTAAATATGTGATGTGTTCCAGTAAATACTCCCTCTTTAATACCACACAGGTATAATATATAATACTCCCTCTTTAATACCACACAGGTATAATACTCCCTCTTTAATACCACACAGGTATAATACTCCCTCTTTAATACCACACAGGTATAATACTCCCTCTTTAATACCACACAGGTATAATACTCCCTCTTTAATACCACACAGGTATAATACTCCCTCTTTAATACCACACAGGTATAATACTCCCTCTTTAATACCACACAGGTATAATACTCCCTCTCCCTCAGTTTGAGTCCAAATAGAATCACATCATTTTAAATCTGTGGGAGGTTTTTAAAGGCTGAAAGAAAAACTGTTGGTGACAGTTGGTGATTCTGTGGTTGGGAATTTATGGAATTTTTTGAAGATAATTTGGTGAATTTATGGAACTTATGGAAGATACTTTGGGGGATTTATTGAATTTTTTGAAGGTAATTGGGGGAATTTATGGCATTTATGGAATAGTATTTGCTAATTATTTTTATTATGGTATTTTTATGGTATTTTTTGCGTTATTTTAAAGACAATTTTCTGAATTTATGGAATTTATGGAAGATCATTTGGGAATTTTTTTTAAGATAATTTGGGGAATTTATGGAATTTATGGAAGACAATTTGAGAATTTATGTATTGTAAAAAATAAAATAAAACAACTCATTAAAATTTAATTAAAGTCAAGTCTGTCCCTTTGTTTTTATGTGTAAAAGACTTGAGTGTGGTGTTGAGAGGACAGAGGGGTGAGGACAGATATAACTCCACATTTTCATATTTACTCAGTATCAGTCTGTGTAAAGGTACAAATGACACGGTCTCAACTTAATAAATCACATTTACAGTAACTGAAAATAAAAATAAACTCACATGAAATGACTGTGAAATGTTCAATTTTGGCCGTGTCAGATTCACCAAACAACAAAACAAACGCCATACAAAATAAAAAGAAGTACAAGGAGCTCACGCGTCACAATGATATAATAACAAAGAGAAAAAATATATAAATGTACATTATCTGTTACATAAGGGTGAGTTGTACAGTTGTAGGGAGTATTATCTGTTACATAAGGGCGAGTTGTACAGTTGTAGGGAGTATTATCTGTTACATAAGGTGAGTTGTACAGTTGTAGGGAGTATTATCTGTTACATAAGGGCGAGTTGTACAGTTGTAGGGAGTATTATCTGTTACATAAGGGTGAGTTGTTGTACAGTTGTAGGGAGTATTATCTGTTACATAAGGGTGAGTTGTACAGTTGTAGGGAGTATTATCTGTTACATAAGGGTGAGTTGTTGTACAGTTGTAGGGAGTATTATCTGTTACATAAGGGTGAGTTGTTGTACAGTTGTAGGGAGTATTATCTGTTACATAAGGGTGAGTTGTTGTACAGTTGTAGGGAGTATTATCTGTTACATAAGGGCGAGTTGTACAGTTGTAGGGAGTATTATCTGTTACATAAGGTGAGTTGTACAGTTGTAGGGAGTATTATCTGTTACATAAGGGTGAGTTGTACAGTTGTAGGGAGTATTATCTGTTACATAAGGGTGAGTTGTACAGTTGTAGGGAGTATTATCTGTTACATAAGGGTGAGTTGTTGTACAGTTGTAGGGAGTATTATCTGTTACATAAGGGTGAGTTGTTGTACAGTTGTAGGGAGTATTATCTGTTACATAAAGTGAGTTGTACAGTTGTAGGAGTATTATCTGTTACATAAGGGTGAGTTGTTGTACAGTTGTAGGGAGTATTATCTGTTACATAAGGGTGAGTTGTTGTACAGTTGTAGGGAGTATTATCTGTTACATAAGGGTGAGTTGTACAGTTGTAGGGAGTATTATCTGTTACATAAGGGTGAGTTGTTGTACAGTTGTAGGGAGTATTATCTGTTACATAAGGGTGAGTTGTTGTACAGTTGTAGGGAGTATTATCTGTTACATATAAGGGTGAGTTGTTTGTACAGTTGTAGGGAGTATTATCTGTTACATAAGGGTGAGTTGTTGTACAGTTGTAGGGAGTATTATCTGTTACATAAGGGTGAGTTGTACAGTTGTAGGGAGTATTATCTGTTACATAAGGGTGAGTTGTTGTACAGTTGTAGGGAGTATTATCTGTTACATAAGGTGAGTTGTTGTACAGTTGTAGGGAGTATTATCTGTTACATAAGGGTGAGTTGTTGTACAGTTGTAGGGAGTATTATCTGTTACATAAGAGTGAGTTGTACAGTTGTAGGGAGTATTATCTGTTACATAAGGGTGAGTTGTTGTACAGTTGTAGGGAGTATTATCTGTTACATAAGGTGAGTTGTTGTACAGTTGTAGGGAGTATTATCTGTTACATAAGAGTGAGTTGTTGTACAGTTGTAGGGAGTATTATCTGTTACATAAGGAGTGAGTTGTTGTACAGTTGTAGGGAGTATTATCTGTTACATAAGGGTGAGTTGTTGTACAGTTGTAGGGAGTATTATCTGTTACATAAAGGTGAGTTGTACAGTTGTAGGGAGTATTATCTGTTACATAAGGGTGAGTTGTTGTACAGTTGTAGGGAGTATTATCTGTTTACATAAGGAGTGAGTTGTTGTACAGTTGTAGGGAGTATTATCTGTTACATAAGGTGATTTGTTGTACAGTTGTAGGGAGTATTATCTTTTACATAAGGTGAGTTGTACAGTTGTAGGGAGTATTATCTGTTACATAAGAGTGAGTTGTTGTACAGTTGTAGGGAGTATTATCTGTTACATAAAGGTGAGTTGTTGTACAGTTGTAGGGAGTATTATCTGTTACATAAGAGTGAGTTGTTGTACAGTTGTAGGGAGTATTATCTGTTACATAAGAGTGAGTTGTTGTACAGTTGTAGGGAGTATTATCTGTTACATAAGAGTGAGTTGTTGTACAGTTGTAGGGAGTATTATCTGTTACATAAGAGTGAGTTGTTGTACAGTTGTAGGGAGTATTATCTGTTACATAAGAGTGAGTTGTTGTACAGTTGTAGGGAGTATTATCTGTTACATAAGAGTGAGTTGTACAGTTGTAGGGAGTATTATCTGTTACATAAGGGTGAGTTGTTGTACAGTTGTAGGGAGTATTATCTGTTACATAAGAGTGAGTTGTTGTACAGTTGTAGGGAGTATTATCTGTTACATAAGAGTGAGTTGTTGTACAGTTGTAGGGAGTATTATCTGTTACATAAGAGTGAGTTGGTGTACAGTTGTAGGGAGTATTATCTGCATTAATCAGTTAAAAAAAAGAAAAATTGTATGATCTGTTAAATTAAATAAAATATAATAATAATTAAACTGAACCAATGTCTCCTCCTCCTAAAAAGAAACATTCCGTAACTTTAATTTGTTTCCCGCTCCTGTTCTAGCTGCCATTTTGGTTTTATTTGTTTACATTTTGTTTTTGCCAACTGTCATAATTTCTTGTATTAAAAAAAAAAAAAAAAAAAAAAAAAAAAAAAAGCATTACATTCTTTTTCTGGTGACTTCTTGTCTCAAATAAATAAATAAATAAATAAATAAAAATAAATAAATAAATAAATAAATAAAAACGGCCTCTGCTTCATCGATATAGAACGGTACCCTCCCTTACCAAGATGGCGGCAGTATTAACGCATGCCGAGAGTCTGAGCGCGACATCTACCGTTCTACACGCCTGCGCCCGGCCTCAGTGCGCAGGCGCGGTCGGGGTGCCTGGTCACGTGTGTGAGGATGGCGTCCGCGTTGAGAGGCGCTGCTGGAAATCTGCTCAAGGTGAGACTCAAATCCAGCTCTTCTCCTGCCGAAATCCGCCCGGAACTTTTAGATATGTCCCGAAAATGGTGAATATGATTGAGTTTAAAGCCCGGATTTATCCCGAAACAGTGCGACGCGTGTTTGTGACGCGAGCTAACGTCACTTTGCGGTTAATAATGTTCAATTTTAGCGATCACCTTTAATTTAAACACACAAAACTGCACCTGTGGACGGTTTAAATGTGTTTTATTTTTAAAAGTAGGTCACGAATGTCTCCGAATTCAGTTTTATTATTTACAACTTAATGATGCCGAACTGACGAGGCCGGACACTGCAGCTGCTTCTGTTAAATTACACAACTGTTAAATGCAGTTATTTTCTTAAAAGCAGTATTTTTATTTGAGTAGTTTTAAGTTTTGTGTGTGTGTGTGTGTGTGTGTGTGTGTGTGTGTGTGTGTGTGTGTGTGTGTGTGTGTGTGTGTGTGTGTGTGTGTGTGTGTGTGTGTGTGTGTGTGTGTGTGTCCTTGACCTGTCCGTGTCTCAGGCTCAGCTCGGACTAAAATAAACCTCCAACCAAATTCCTAGTTTTTTTTTTTATTTTTTTTTTATTTAAAGCTCCTGTGTCAAACTGAAATCCAAAACACACCTGGAGCTGTGTCCGTTTACAGCTCCAAAGCTCCAAACGCTCTGTTCCACCTTGTGATGTCATGAAGTGGTAGTTTTCAAGTGAACAGCTTCTTTTACCTTTACTTGATCTGGGATCAGTCTGTGACGTGGCTGATCTGGGGTCAGTCTGAAGCATGTGGCTGATCTGGGGTCAGTCTGTGGCTGATCTGGGGTCAGTCTGTGGCTGATCTGGGGTCAGTCTGTGGCTGATCTGGGGTCAGTCTGTGGCTGATCTGGGGTCAGTCTGTGGCTGATCTGGGGTCAGTCTGTGGCTGATCTGGGGTCATGGCTGATGGGGTCAGTGGCTGATCTGGGGTCAGTCTGTGGCTGATCTGGGGTCAGTCTGTGGGATCTGATGGCTGATCTGGGGTCAGTCTGTGGCTGATCTGGGGTCAGTCTGTGGTCTGATCTGGGGTCAGTCTGTCTGAGGCTGATCTGAGGCTGATCTGGGGTCAGTCTGTCTGTGGCTGATCTGGGGTCAGTCTGTGGTGTGTGGTAAAACAGGAATGCAATAACAAAGTTCTCTGTAGTTTTATTCATTACAATTTTATAATTTTTTTTATTTTATTTTATTTTGTGTGTGTGTGGTTCCAGGCCCTGAGTGGTGCCCCCCGCTGGCAGGTGCTCTCCTGTCGCCCGCTGTCAGGGGCGGAGTCAGCTCCTGCTCGCGCTGATGCCACGTTCAAAGTAACCATGGTCCCCGGAGACGGAGTGGGGCCGGAGCTCATGACCGCCGTCAAGGATGTGTTCAAGGTAAAGAGTTTAAAGCTGCACTGTGTCACTTTCCTGGTGGAGGGTCCGTCACCTGCTTGTTTCTGTGGATACGTCACGCCAGACCAGGGGCCTCATTTCTAAATCTTGCTTACGCAAAAATCCGTGCGTGCGCGCTTCCTACGCCAACCGCGGTATTTATGAACTCGACTAAGGCGTGGCTCTTTGCTTAACTCTACGTCAACTCGGGAACCTCCTGTAAGTTCTACGCAAAGTCTAGAGACACGGGGAAAAAGCGACACTCGTGGAGAGAAGCAGAAGTGAACAGAGTTTGAGGAAGAGTTTGATCAGAAAATCCACGTATATAGAAGAATTACCTTCAGATTTGTGCATTTAAGTGTTTGGTTCACAAAACACAGAGAAGGGCTGTTTATTCCACTCATTATTCTCCACAATATTAAACATTTGAAACTCGTGCACGAGCGCGGACACGTTCCCAGACCTGGTGCAGCGCAGAGTCTCACAGTCCACACCACGACCATAGACTTCTATAGAACACAGACTGACCAACTTTAACACTTTTACTTTAGTCTTTACGCACCGAGCGCCAGAGTGACCTGAGTCTGTGACCCGAGTCTGTGGACAACACGAAGCCCACTGCCCGAACCTGACCCCAACCAAAATCTGCCCTACATGTTTGTGTAATGGGGAACTGAGCACATGAGAACTGCTCTCTGACTGTATGAAGAACAGAATAATGCCCCCGACCAAGACACCACACTCACAGCACCACAGACCCACACTCACAGACCCACACTCACAGACCCACACTACACACACAGACCCACACTCACAGACCCACACTCACAGACCCACACTCACAGACCCACACTCACAGACCCACACTCACAGACCCACACTCACAGACACACACTCACAGACCACAGACCCACACTCACAGACCCACACTCACAGACCCACACTCACAGACCCACACTCACAGACCCACACTCACCCAGACCCACACTCACAGACCCAGACCCACACTCACAGACCCACACTCACAGACCCACACTCACAGACCCACACTCACAGACCCACACTCACAGACCCACACTCACAGACCCACACTCACAGACCCACACTCACAGACCCACACTCACAGACCCACACTCACAGACCCACACTCACAGACCCACACTCACAGACCCACACTCACAGACCCACACTCACAGACCCACACTCACAGGTTCAGCAGTTTGGATGTTTCGTGTGGACTTTAATTGGCAGAATAACATCTGTATCTGATGTGTTTTGTGCTAAATCTGTGTCCTCGTGTCGTCCCCTCGCTCCTTTCCCTCTCCAGGGGAGGGCATCTGAATCTCTCGCACACACTCATAATTTGACCATTCAGATCAGCGCGTGCACGTATCTGCATGTATATGCATAAATACAGGACCAGTCCACACACACTTCATAGACAGACTTAAAAATATAGCGATAAAACCCTTGAAACAGCGAAAAAACACATGGTCTTTACTGCAAAGATGTGCTGCCTAAATATTATTAAAATATGATTAAATGAACAGATGAGTCATTGTTGTCACTTTTAGTTTTGTATTTATTTATTAAACCTTGTTTAATAAAGTCTTTAATAAAGTGTTTGTCGTGATCACGTGGTGCTGCGTGGAGCCTCCTCCTCCCTCTGTCCCGCGTGTCTCGGTCAAACCCACTGATTATCGGCTCATGTTTAGGGAAATCTCATTCACCAGTCACTTTACCTGCTCCTTTTATGGTGAGGTGGAGGTGTGAGGGGCGTGTCTGTCCTTTTATGGTGAGGTGGAGGTGTGAGGGGGCGTGGTCTGTCCTTTTATGGTGAGGTGGAGGTGTGAGGGGGCGTGGTCTGTCCTTTTATGGTGAGGTGGAGGTGTGAGGGGGCGTGGTCTGTCCTTTATGGTGTGAGGGCGCGGTCTGTCCTTTTATGGTGAGGTGGAGGTGTGAGGGGGCGCGGTCTGTCCTTTTATGGTGAGGTGGAGGTGTGAGGGGCGTGGTCTGTCCTTTTATGGTGAGGTGGAGGTGTGAGGGGGCGTGGTCTGTCCTTTTATGGTGAGGTGGAGGTGTGAGGGGCGCGGTCTGTCCTTTTATGGTGAGGTGGAGGTGTGAGGGGTGTGGTCTGTCCTTTTATGGTGAGGTGGAGGTGTGAGGGGGCGCTGGTCTGTCCTTTTATGGTGAGGTGGAGGTGTGAGGGGGCGCGGTCTGTCCTTTTATGGTGAGGTGGAGGTGTGAGGGGGCGTGACGTGGGTTTACGTGCACAAATTGTAGTTGCAGGTGGGATTTATAAAGCAAAGATTGTGTGGTTTGGTGCGTGCGGTGGGTTTTCTAAACATGGAGTTTGCGGCGCACGCCTGTCGTAGCTACAGACGTACGCACTAACTTACAAAAACTCCTGCACAGTTTTTATAAATGAGGCCCCAGGACTGAAAACGGTTTAGTCCTGATTCAGACCTGTTCAAGTCACAGAAACGGGAAACAGTCGTTATCCGTTTTTTCAGTTTTTCATTGAAACACGTGAGTCTCCTCTGTGTCTCTGTGTGATGTTTGAGGATGTTGTTTGTGTTGGTGGAGGTGGAGAACATCACCGTGCGTCTCCGTCTCCTCTGTGTGATGTTTGAGGATGTTGTTTGTGTCCTGTAGGCCGGGGACGTCCCAGTGGAGTTTGAGGAGTTCCATCTCAGTGAGGTTCAGAACATGGCGTCAGAGGAGAAGCTGGAGCAGGTCCTCACCTCCATGAAGAACAACAGAGTGGCCATCAAAGGTACTGCTTGTGACGTTCGTGTCGTTTGTGTCATTGTGACATTTGTGACATTTGTGTCGTAGTAACATTAGTGACGTTTGTGTCGTAGGAAAGATCCACACGCCCATGGAGTTTAAAGGGGAACTGGCGTCGTACGAGATGAGACTCAGGTCTGTGAAACACGTCCAAGAACTGAAACTGAACCAGGACTGAACCAGGACTAAACCATAGTCCATAGTGCTGCTTACAGACTTGTGTGTTTTATTCTGAAGACTCTTGTGTTTGTGTTTGTGTGCGTTGTGTGTGTGTGTGTGTGTGTTGTGTGTGTGTGTGTGTGTGTGTGTGTGTGTGTGTTGTGCGTTTGTCCAGGAGGAAGTTGGACTTGTTTGCGAACGTGGTCCATGTGAACAGTTTACCTGGATACTCGACCCGACACAACAACCTGGACCTGGTGATCATCAGAGAGCAGACGGAGGGAGAGTACAGCTCCCTGGAACACGAGGTACAACTACTACAACTACTACAAATACTACAAGTACTACAACTACTACAACTACTACAACTACTACAAATACTACAAATACTACAACTACTACAACTACTACAACTACTACAAATACTACTACACAGACTCATGAGAGCAGACGGAGGGAGAGTACAGCTCCCTGGAACACGAGGTACAAATACTACAACTACTACAAATACTACAACTACTACAAGCTACTACAACTACTACAACTACTACAACTACTACAACTACTACAACTACTACAACTACTACAAATACTACAAATACTACAAATACTACAAATACTACAAACTACTACAACTACTACAACTACTACAACTACTACAACTACTACTACTACAACTACTACAACTACTACAAACTACTACAACTACTACAACTACTACAAATACTACAACTACTACAAATACTACAAATACTACAAACTACTACAAATACTACAACTACTACAACTACTACAACTACTACAACTACTACAACTACTACAACTACTACAAATACACAAATACTACACTACTAAACTACTACAAGTACTACAACTACTACAACTACTACAAAACTACTACAACTACTACAAAACTACTACAACTACTACAAATACTACAACTAACTACTACTACAAATACTACTACACAGACTGAGAGCAGACGGAGGAGAGTACAGCTCCCTGGAACACGAGCAGTACAAAATACTACAAACTACTACAAATACTACAAATACTACTACACAGACTCATGAGAGCAGACGGAGGGGAGTACAGCTCCCTGGAACACGAGGTACAAATACTACAACTACTACAAACTACTACAAGACAACTACTACAACTACTACAACTACTACAAACTACTACAACTACTACAAACTACTACTACTACTACTACTACAACTACTACAAATACTACAACTACTACAACTACTACAACTACTACAAATACTACTACTACAAATACTACAACTACTACAATTACTACAACTACTACAAATACTACAGCTACTACAACTACTACTACTACTACTACACAGACTCATGAGAGCAGACGGAGGGAGAGTACAGCTCCCTGGAAACACGAGGTACAAATACTACAAACTACTACAAATACTACAAATACTACAACTACTACTACTACTACACAGACTCATGAGAGCAGACGGAGGGAGAGTACAGCTCCCTGGAACACGAGGTACAAATACTACAAATACTACAACTACTACTACTACTACAAGTACTACAACTACTACAACTACTACAAATACTACAACTACTACTACAACTACTACAACTACTACAACTACTACAACTACTACAACTACTACAACTACTACAAATACTACAACTACTACAACTACTACAAACTTACTACAACTACTACAACTACTACAACTACTACAACTACTACAAATACTACAAATACTACTACACAGACTCATGAGAGCAGACGGAGGGAGAGTACAGCTCCCTGGAACACGACGAGGTACAAAATACTACAACTACTACAACTACTACAAATACTACAACTACTACTACTACTACACAGACTCATGAGAGCAGACGGAGGGAGAGTACAGCTCCCTGGAACACGAGGTACAATACTACAAATACTACTACAACTACTACAACTACTACAACTACTACAACTACTACAACTACTACTACAAATACTACAACTACTACCTACTACAACTACTACTACAACTACTACAACTACTACAACTACTACAATACTACAACTACTACAACAACTACTACAACTACTACAAATACTACAACTACTACAAATACTACAACTACTACAACTACTACAACTACTACAACTACTACAACTACTACAACTACTACAAATACTACAACTACTACAAATACTACAACTACTACAACTACTACAACTACTACAAATACTACAGCTACTACAACTACTACTACTACTACTACACAGACTCATGAGAGCAGACGGAGGGAGAGTACAGCTCCCTGGAACACGAGGTACAAATACTACAACTACTACAAGTACTACAACTACTACAAATACTACAACTACTACAACTACTACAACTACTACAACTACTACAAATACTACAATACTACAACAACTACTACAACTACTACAACTACTACAACTACTACAACTACTACAAATACTACAACTACTACAACTACTACAACTACTACAACTACTACAAACTACTACAAACTACTACAAACTACTACAAGCTACTACAACTACTACAACTACTACAACTACTACAAATACTACAAATACTACAACTACTACAACTACTACAACTACTACAACTACTACAACTACTACAACTACTACTACAACTACTACAAATACTACAGCTACTACAACTACTACAAATACTACAGCTACTACAACTACTACAAATACTACAGCTACTACAAGTACTACAACTGCTACAACTACTACAACTACTACAACTACTACAACTACTACAAATACTACAGCTACTACAACTACTACAACTACTACAAACTACTACAACTACTACTACTACACAGACTCATGAGAGCAGACGGAGGGAGAGTACAGCTCCCTGGAACACGAGGTACAAATACTACAACTACTACAAATACTACAAATACTACTACACAGACTCATGAGAGCAGACGGAGGGAGAGTACAGCTCCCTGGAACACGAGGTTACAATACTACAACTACTACAAGTACTACAAGTACTACAAACTACTACAAACTACTACAACTACTACAAACTACAAACTACTACAAATACTACAACTACTACAACTACTACAAATACTACAAGTACTACAAGTACTACAAGTACTACAAATACTACAAGTACTACAAGTACTACAAGTACTACAAATACTACAAGTACTACAAATACTACTACTACTACTACACAGACTCATGAGAGCAGACGGAGGGAGAGTACAGCTCCCTGGAACACGAGGTACAACTACTACAAGTACTACAACTACTACAACTACTACAAATACTACAACTACTACAACTACTACAACTACTACAAAATACTACAACTACTACAACTACTACAAACTACTACTAACTACTACAACTACTACAAAGTACTACAAGTACTACAAGTACTACAAAGTACTACAAATACTACAAATACTACAAATACTACAAATACTACAACTACTACAATACTACAAACTACTACAAACTACTACAACTACTACAAATACTACAACTACTACAACTACTACTACAAATACTACAACTACTACAAATACTACAAGCTACTACAAACTACTACAAGTACTACAAATACTACAGCTACTACAACTACTACAACTACTACAAATACTACAAATACTACAACTACTACAAAACTACTACAAATACTACAAACTACTACAACTACTACAACTACTACAACTACTACAACTACTACAACTACTACAACTACTACAACTACTACAAATACTACAACTACTACAACTACTACAACTACTACAACTACTACAAATACTACAAATACTACAAGTACTACAAGTACTACAAATACTACAAGTACTACAAATACTACAAGTACTACAACTACTACAAATACTACAAATACTACAACTACTACAAATACTACAAGTACTACAACTACTACAAACTACTACAAATACTACAACTACTACAAATACTACAAGTACTACAACTACTACAAGTACTACAAATACTACAGCTACTACAACTACTACAACTACTACAAATACTACAACTACTACAACTACTACAACTACTACTACACAGACTCATGAGAGCAGACGGAGGGAGAGTACAGCTCCCTGGAACACGAGGTACAAATACTACAACTACTACAAATACTACAACTACTACAACTACTACAAGTACTACAACTACTACAAGTACTACAAATACTACAAGTACTACAAATACTACAAGTACTACAAATACTACAAGTACTACAAATACTACAAGTACTACAACTACTACAGCTACTACAGCTACTACAACTACTACAACTACTACAACTACTACAACTACTACAAGTACTACAAGTACTACAAGTACTACAAGTACTACAAGTACTACAAGTACTACAAATACTACAAATACTACAACTACTACAACTACTACTACACAGACTCATGAGAGCAGACGGAGGGAGAGTACAGCTCCCTGGAACACGAGGTACAAATACTACAACTACTACAAGTACTACAACTACTACAAATACTACAACTACTACAACTACTACAACTACTACTACACAGACTCATGAGAGCAGACGGAGGGAGAGTACAGCTCCCTGGAACACGAGGTACAAATACTACAGCTACTACAAGTACTACAACTACTACAAGTACTACAACTACTACAAGTACTACAACTACTACAACTACTACAACTACTACTACTACTACTACACAGACTCATGAGAGCAGACGGAGGGAGAGTACAGCTCCCTGGAACACGAGGTACAAATACTACAACTACTACAACTACTACAAGTACTACAAGTACTACAACTACTACTACAACTACTACTACACAGACTCATGAGAGCAGACGGAGGGAGAGTACAGCTCCCTGGAACACGAGGTACAAATACTACAAATACTACAAGTACTACAACTACTACAACTACTACAACTACTACAACTACTACAAATACTACAACTACTACAACTACTACAACTACTACAACTACTACTACTACTACTACTACTACTACTACTACTACACAGACTCATGAGAGCAGACGGAGGGAGAGTACAGCTCCCTGGAACACGAGGTACAACTACTACAACTACTACAACTACTACAAGTACTACAAGTACTACAACTACTACAACTACTACAACTACTACAAATACTACAACTACTACAACTACTACAACTACTACTACTACTACTACACAGACTCATGAGAGCAGACGGAGGGAGAGTACAGCTCCCTGGAACACGAGGTACAACTACTACAACTACTACAACTACTACAACTACTACAACTACTACAAATACTACAAATACTACAACTACTACAACTACTACAACTACTACAAATACTACTACACAGACTCATAAGAGCAGACGGAGGGAGAGTACAGCTCCCTGGAACACGAGGTACAAATACTACAACTACTACAACTACTACAACTACTACAAATACTACAAATACTACAACTACTACAACTACTACAAATACTACAACTACTACAACTACTACAAATACTACTACACAGACTCATAAGAGCAGACGGAGGGAGAGTACAGCTCCCTGGAACACGAGGTACAAATACTACAACTACTACAACTACTACAACTACTACAACTACTACAACTACTACAAATACTACAAATACTACTACACAGACTCATAAGAGCAGACGGAGGGAGAGTACAGCTCCCTGGAACACGAGGTACAAATACTACAACTACTACAAATACTACAAATACTACAACTACTACAACTACTACAACTACTACAACTACTACAAATACTACAACTACTACAACTACTACAAATACTACAACTACTACAACTACTACAAACTACTACTACTAACTACAAACTACAACTACTACAACTTACTACAATACTACTACAACTACTACAACTACTACAACTACTACAACTACTACAAATACTACAACTACTACAAATACTACAACTACTACAACTACTACAAATACTACAACTACTACAAATACTACTACACAGACTCATAAGAGCAGACGGAGGGAGAGTACAGCTCCCTGGAACACGAGGTACAAATACTACAAGTACTACAAATACTACAAATATTAATACTCCTCCCTCGTTTATTTCTGTCGTTTATTTCTCTGTCGTTTGTTTCTCTGTCGTTTGTTTCTGTCGTTCATTTCTGTCGTTTATTTCTCTGTCGTTTATTTCTGTCGTTTATTTCTGTCGTTTATTTCTCTGTCGTTTATTTCTGTCGTTTATTTCTGTCGTTTATTTCTGTCGTTTGTTTCTCTGTCGTTTGTTTCTCTGTCGTTTATTTCTGTCGTTTGTTTCTCTGTCGTTTGTTTCTGTCGTTCATTTCTGTATTTCTGTCGTTTATTTTCTGTCGTTTATTTCTGTCGTTTATTTCTGTCGTTTATTTCTCTGTCGTTTATTTCTGTCGTTTATTTCTGTCGTTTATTTCTGTCGTTTATTTCTCTGTCGTTTATTTCTGTCGTTTATTTCTGTCGTTTATTTCTCTGTCGTTTGTTTCTCTGTCGTTTGTTTCTTTCAGTCCGTCTCTGGAGTGATCGAGTGTCTGAAAATCATCACCAGAGAAAAATCGAGGAGAATCGCTAAATTTGCTTTTGACTTCGCCACGAAGAAAGGACGAAGTAAAGTGACGGCAGTACACAAGGCCAACATCATGTGAGTACTACAGATACTACTACTACTACTACTATAGTACTGTCATGTACTGGTCAGAACACTGCAGTACTTTTGTGTACTGTGTTGTGTGTTGTGTGTTGTGTGTTGTTGTGTGTGTATTGTCCCTCCTTAGGATGTTTACAGTAGGGCCCCACCGATATATCGGCCGATATGTGCACCTGGAAACATATAAGCTCTCGGCCTAAATCTTGTCGATATGAGCCGATATTTCCCGTGGTCATGTGATACGTCATTATAAATCTTAG